CATCAATTTCATTGACCGGTTGAAAGGGGTCCATGAATCCCTTTTCCTTCACATCGTCAATGGTCCCTTTCGTTACGTTCAAGCCAGGGTTTGGTGTGTGCTCCAGCCCGGGTCGGGGGATTCCAATGCCTTCATACAGTACGTTGATCAACCACGACGCTTTGAAGCAAGCTTCCTGCGCGTTCTTGGCCTTTTGCGTGGCCGACTTCTTCCGCGCCTCGATGCTAGCCTCGATATCTGCCCAGTCGCGAGTGCAGAAATCCACCACATTTTTCTGGTACGTGGCCAGGTCGTATGCCGTTTTGTGGCTCTTGCTGAAAACGCCGTGAGTCGTGTGCCAGTACTCGGAAACCCCGACGAAGTGGTTCACATCGAAATCAATGCTTGGCACATGCTGGCCATTCAGGAGACAAGGTTCGTCTTCGCAGGGAGTGTCCTTTCCTAACAGCGGCTCGGTCTGTCGGAGACATTCGTCGAATTGGCCAGTACCGATAAGGGACAGTTCATGAATGGCAGTTTTGGTGCTTATAGGATCGCCCGATAGAGAAGACCGCAAGCCAGATGGGAGGCATGGATCGGGGATCTCAAGACTATCCGGTTTGCCGTACTGCTCCTTGAGGCTTTCGACATATCGCTCACGGGCTCGATTTGCGCCGTATCCTAGCCAAGTTGCGGTGAAGACGCGGTGTTCAATAGTTGACCCATCGAGGGTGCGGAGGCGGACAAGCTTCAAGTCGTTTGCATGCTTCTCTGCCTCGGTACTATTTGGAGCGAAAGCAATCTGTGCCGATGCGCCTCCCATATCCAGAAAGCCATACGTGTGATGGCCATTGCCGTGTTTGTGTCTATCGGGATGGTCAAAGCCGCCGAGAAGGTAATTCGTGGCAAGCCAGCCGTATAAACCTTCGGTCTCGCCCGATATAACTTGTATATTTGTGTTGCAGTCAGGTAGTGAGAACATTGTGTTTTCCTGCAAATAGGCGCACATGTTGCGAAGAAGGGCTCGCTGCTTATGCTCGGGAAGAAGACGCATGCCGGCGGTGGCCATGAGATAGACAGGAGTGTCGGCAACTTTCTTATCGGGCACTTCCTTGAGGGCTATGTCGATGAGAGACTGGAGGTGTTCGCGACCAATCTCTTCGGGCTTTTCTGCGAAGGATGACACGCCAGGTCGGATCTTTTGACTCGTTTGTAGCTTGATCTTGGGCAGACTGTGCAGTGCGTCAATGGAGGCATGTTTGATGGCCTTGGCGTGGTCCTTCCATTTATAGACATACAGACGCGTCCCCGAAGAGCCCGCATCGAAGATGATACCGTACCGCCCTGTACGAATGAATTGTTACAGTCAGAATGCCGCTTCTTTAAACAGATAGATTATACTAAACCAAGTCTTCTCTGCAGAACCTACATTTCTTCCCCATTAGTGGCAGCTGGCGCAGTCAGGCTGCGTGATTGAGAAGGCCGTGGGTGACGCAAGGGGTTTTGCGCCTTCGAGGAGAGCACTATGGCAACTGGATGAGGATTCCGCGTGGAGGTAGGAGTTGAAATGTCGCTGGGATCCGATGAGGTATTGAGTGGCTCTGTCAGTTCGTCTAGTTCGCCGACGAAGTGTAGCGTGTAGCCGGTGATTTCGCAGGTGGAACGTATTCGAATTTCGAAAGCGATGCAGCCGTGGCGAGATGCGAAAGGTGTTGGTACAGTCAGAAGCGAATAAGTCCAGTGGTGGGATTAAAATAAACGACGACGAATAATGGCTGCTAAAGTTGAAGATGATTTGTGTCAACAGATGATTTGCGTAGGGTTGAAGCGAGCGTCGGTCATCCTGGAGGTTGTTAGGAGAGATGTAAAGAAAGAAATAGGTTGGCAACTGATTGCCCGATTGATGTATGGAGTAGTCGTGCAGCTGTGCAGGGGGCGGAGCCAAGGCAAAATGCGTGGGAACGGGGAGTCTGGGAACGACCTTCAGTTTGGACCGGACTGGACGCTGGTTATGCCAGGGATTGGTGCTCGCACTTAGACAGTCGTGGAAAATTGTAGGCTTGATTAAAGTGGGGTTGTCTGGCGAGGGAGGGATGCTGATGGAGACGACGCAGACAGGAATAAACTTGCTTATTAGGTAGGAAGTGAACAGGATGTGGAAAAGTGCAACACAAGACTGTCTGTCACTGTGGTGTACTCGTGTTGGATTACTGAGGCAACGTGGACAGGAGACGACTCCAGCGACAGTGGCAGGCCGGGCCAAATCTCGGACAGGTACAGACACAAGCTCGGGTCCAGAAGCCGCTTGGCATGGAATGATAAGACGGTGGTGGACTGGTGGTTGCAGCACTGGGCTGGTCCTCAAACGGAAGGATACGTAACCATCTGATGTCTGCTATGATTGGCCGTGGTCAGTCGAGGTCATATCCGCGTAAGGTACCTATGTACGTACATTCGCCGTCGTTTGGGAACGTCCCGGCTGCGTTTAGCTTTCTCACCTTCAAGCTGGCTTGCTGGGCAGTACCACTGGAGCAGCAGTTATTTTTATTCTTCTTCACCGGCGAACACTTTGTCGTGCTTTCCTCATCCTACTCTTCCTTGCATATGAGGCACGATGGGCTGGCAATGTCTCTGGCACCACCTATAGTTATGCTCGGGTTGCTCACTCCCTTGCCCTCTGGATCTGCTCCTGGCAATCATGACAAGGATGAAAAGAGACACCGCAATCGCGATCAGCGCCCTTGCACCAGCACTCGCAGCCTATCCGTACAGTACGTGCGTGATAACAGTGAAGGTCAGGTTTAACCAATGATTAGTAGGGGTCCTCCCCCCTCCCCCCTCCTCTCCAGTCTCACTGCCGCCACTCGCTCGCCATCGCCTCTGTCTGGCCTGTGCACCGTAAGAATTCCCTCAGGAGGCACTGAGTAGGGGACAGGTGTGGGTCGACGCTACACCCGCACTGACGCAGCGTCGTACATGATGCACATAGATACCTTAGGTACATACGAATAGTACATAGTCCGTACAGCGATGGTGCACGGCAACACAGTATATCATTGTATATCATTGGAACCCGGACTTGGCGTATCACATTGGCTAGAGGGATTCCCACGTCGCCCGCTTCCAACGCAATGTTCCATCCAAATTGCTTTTGTCACGTACTATCCGCCTCAAAGTATGCAGGCTGCCACACTGTGTCGCATATCTCCGCGCTTTACTGCATACATATCCGTACGTCGCTGTATCAAGTTGAGACAAGCCTACGGCCGCCGAAGGTACGCGATTGATAGGGCACCATTGAACCCAGTTTCGCCGCCCATTTGCTCTCTGGGTTCCTGCCGTCTTCGGCTTGGTCCGTTTGTCACGGACTTGACTGCCGTATGTACAAACGTACGGGTTAGAGTTGGCCCCATACGTGTAGCAAACAGGATAATCAGTGTTGTATTGCTCTACATCATGCCTGATCTTTATGGTTTTGTCAGGTTGGTGGGATAACTCGTCCAACAGGTCGCTGCTGGTATCTTCTTGATGTTAGTTGCTTGGAGTTTGCCGTTCCCGATCGCGATTCATAGCAGTACATGACTAACTCGTATCCTAGCCCGTTTTCCCTGTCTTCCCCTTCTCTCTCCTGCCTGACTGTCTACCTCCCCCCCCCCCCCTTCCCAAAAAAAAAGAAGAAAAAAATTAGCCTTCATTTCATCCCAGCATTCATCCGCTCTTGTGCCCTTCTCCTACCGACAATGACACTCGATACCACTGAGCGCCGATGTTCAGTCTAACGTCATCTGCAGCAAACCTACCTTACACAAGTTGACAAGGACCTGGGCACTCGTAGCTATTCGCGCCACAACCGCGCTACCCGCCGTCCGTGTCTCATGTCATCTGGGATGAGAGCCCGCAACCGCCCACCGCAGTCCGAGCTTGTCAATTCCCAAGCGCCTGGTACACTGTTCAAAGCTAGCAGGCTTAGAGCTTCCAGTCCATTCCGTTTGTTTCGTCTCTCTCGCAGTATCATATTTGAGCGTCACCGTTTCTTTGGCTAACAGACTTCGCGATCGCCACACCAGCCATGAATAAATGCCCCAGTTGCCAGAGCCATTTGCTGTGACTCTCGCCAGCGAACTATCTAGCACGCCCCACATCCGTCGTGTTCGTCCCGCGACGTAACACAGCTGTGATTGATCACGTACTTGGGATGTCAATCAGGGCTCTTTGTCTGCATTGTCGTCACCTGCCGAGATGATAAATTGATCTCCAAGACAGGCATGATAGTAAGCGTTGTTCTCAACCCGCACCAAGCACCTATGGTCTCTCATTTGCTGATTACCATAAGAGTGTACAAACTTACTACGGACTGATTTGCATACATCGCCATACTTGCTACTCAAGTGATGTCATCTGCAAAGAGCTTCCAAAACTCCTGGCCTTCTCACGACAACCGCTATTCTATGTCTCTGGGCAACTGAGTCATCTCCCAAAGTGCGCAAAGTGCGCAAGTTGAGATGGATGAACCGGTCATCGCTTCCCCTCGCCTGCTCGCTCATAGTTGGTTTGTTCCGTCGTTATTAAATACCACACGTCATGCCTTATGGTCGTATTATTCACATGCTTGTCAGGGGTCCGAAAGCAGAAGGTACCAGAACTGGACGGCTGGCAACTGTGCCTAGCCATTAGCAGGGTGTGGGAGGCGGCTGAGGCTATTCGCATACCTTTGTGATGTGGTGTGGTTTCTCTAGGCTCCGCCGGCCCGTTGCCAGTCTGGCTGGCCCTAATCCCAGCAGACAGGCCAACCCCCAATCCGCGGCTCCGTGCTGAGGAGGGATTTCGTTGGGCTGTATAACCAGCGTGGAGGTTAGAAAACCCACGGGTTAATGGCGTTCCAGCAGGCAGTCTGGATGCCGTTGACAGCCTGTAACCACGGCCACTATCGAAACTTTGTCCTTGGGATGCTCCGCGTGGGGTTTGCGGTATGCCCACTATTCAAGTCAGAGGCATTTCCCAATATACCGGCGGAAGTCGGACTAACCGGGGGTAGGGCCAGGCCTGGACCACGGTTCCTCTTCCCGGGACGCAACGGAGCCATACTGTCCGTAGACCCTGATCGGACCCGCGTGGCGTTGGGGATCAAGGTATGTAGGCTCCTGTTGATGTTCGCAGAGACCCTGTGTTGTGTTTGGACCTGGACCAAGAAGCTGGAAGTCAACTGCATCTGATGCGGCAGCCTCCACTTGGCCCATTTCGACTCTCTGCTTGACCTTGTCGTACAAGTCCTGAACTTGGTTCAGTCTGCGACACTTGTCCTTGTAAAGCTTCCCCAGCTCTTCATACTTCCTGCGCAAGTCACTATAGTCGAGAATCTGGGCTGTTCTGAGATTAATTCGTGCAATCAGGAGGCGGGGCATCATACTCCAGATCGCGTACCTTGGAACCTCTCCTGCAAAGTTTCCTTTTCTTCGATTACTTCGCTGATCGCACTTTGGTGCCTTCTTTCCATTGTCTTGAGCTGAGCAGTCATTTTCTTGACGGTTTGGCGCTGGAAAACGCTACGCGACGTCAGCAAAGTTTTCCTTTGGGGAGACAACGGACGCACTCCTCTTGGCTTGTTTGGTATGCCCAGAAGCTCAACGCTCTCCCGGTGCATTCCATGATTACAGTTGGACTCAGTCCACTCAGAACACTAGTTTTGTAATCCTCGTTCAGGTTCAAATTGGCCAGGACAGCGTCATCAGGTCCTTGGAGCCCAGTCCGACAGGCTGGGCATTTTCTCTGCCGATCGGAGACTGGGCCTGAGAGACCATGTCTGGCGGCACACTCGACGCAAAATATGTGACTTTTCAAATGATCAGAGTATGAGCTCCCTCGTCCTTTCCCACTTTTGCTTGGTTAGGTTGGCTCACCTGCAAGTAGTGACTAACGCCTGTTGCCCAACCTCCCTCCGGCACTCTCTTACGTTGCATCTAAGTGGGTGCTCCATTAGGTCATTCGGCTAGGGCTGTGTGGCAAAAGTTGGCTGCAAAAGCTTCGATGTTGTTGATGCGGCGACGACACTCTGACAGTTGCTGGCCGATAAGACGAATCCGTTCTTCGGATGTGAACTAGACCCAGCTTAAAAATTTACAACACCCGCCGGAAGGGCGTCGGAGGAAATTTACCAAAGCGACGCTGGCATCAACGATTCTCCGCTTCTCGGAAGGGAACATGGATGCGCGAGGGGAAGGAGGGACGAGTGCCAGCAAGTGGCAGGTGAGGTCGATTCCAACATTCCGTATGGGTGCAGGTGTGGATGCAAGTGCAGGTGCAAGGCTGGAGGGAGCTCGAGGCTGCTCGGTTTTTCCATTAAAGATTCTTACCTACGTTGGGTTGCTGGAAGTCACTGCCTACTGTAGTGTCATCCCGTTTGTCACACACCGGACGACATGCTGAATGACGTGCGTCCACCCACGTCTTGTATCGAAACATAACTAGTGAAGAGTGAGAGTAGCAATTATAGCCGTGTTCTCTCTTGCCACACCCGTTTATAGCCCTTGCTTGGTGGTAAATCATTCCGTGGGACACCACCTGGGATTGGTGTTGGAGTCTGGGGGATTCCGGCTGATGTTGGCATGTTCGGAAGGTTGGGTGCGGGGCCGTCGCCGGAGCCTGAAGTCCGGACGTCTCCGCAATGGGGCGTTTGGGTTCATCGCTACGGAGCACATGTCTTACTTGTACCAAAGGAAGTGCCAGGACACGCTGGTCGGGTTCGGATGGTTCGCCGATCCGTGGCAGATGTTTTTACATCAACGCCCGCATGACATCGCAGTCACTCCACCTCGTCTACTGCCGTTCAGACATCGCAACGCAAACGCAGTTACAACCACATCAGCCGGTATGTCGGGCCTACACACACATAATACCATGCCCAACATTCCCTTCTCGTGCTCGTAATCATGGACGCGTATTTCTACTTTTCTTACACTATGTCTATCGTGCACAATTCTTCTACAGCGCTTCCCTGCGTTGCATAGGCTGGCTGATTCTTGTCACATATGGTTGCCGCAACTTGCCATTGAGACTCGGGCTAGACGAGAGAAAGCAGCCTTAATGGTAGAGCAATAAGCGCATGGATCATGGGACAGCTGGGTGTGGGGTGATTCACTGCCGGGCAAGCAAAAATCGATGCGGCCCGACAATCCAAACAACCATCAGGTGGTCCTCCACTTTCACATTTATCCGCCCAATTGCAACGATATCCTTCAGATACCTATACATCCACCTGCGCGCCCTAAAATGTTTTCGGCATGACCAGACTCTGCCTCCAGGAATGTTCTTCCTTCTAACCGGATGATCGGGGAACATGGCCGTGTGCCCTTTGACTCTGACTATGGAATCTCAGCTCCCCACCTAAACTACGTCCAGGCGCATCTGTTCACCCTGCGAAGTGTGCTTCGGGCTTTTACATTCGCATTCTTGCTCCATTCCTCAGATATGTCCGGCTTCGCTGTTCACCACGTGCCAATACTGCCCTCTGCTGTTCTAACCGTCTCCCTCGGCCCATCTACAACCGCGTCAATATGCTCGGATTGCTCACTTGTTCACCTTGCTTACCAATGCCTAGCGCCCATGCGATGATAACCAAAGCTGCCAGCAAGTCTGCCTATAGCTTTGTCGCATGACGCTGTTCCAATGACTAGTAGTCATGGCAAATTTCCATGGCAGAGACTGTCTTCTCCTCAGATTTAGAAAATGCCTTCTTTGGACATATCGGTGCAAAGTCTCTGGTGGTACTAGGCCGAGATTCCAGTCACTATCCATGTATCGGGTAGAACTGGCAGTGGTTGATATTTATCTTTATGGTAAAATTTCCTCTTAGCTGTCATCCCCAGTACCAGTGTTCACTTGTACATTCATCATCGTGGTCCTCGCCTTCATGGTGTCATTGGATTATTTACGATGATTGACTCCCGAATACTGCTTATCGTGGTCAACTGTTCGACTCGTAGAGAAAAAGGCCGTAGTAGTATAATATGCAAGTATTTCGATATTTATACAAACAGCTACTATGGCTGGTTGCCTAGCTGGCCAGCGTCCTCGCCGTCGTTGGTAGCCAATGCCAGGTTTTCACGCTAGACCTGAGACCAAAAAGGGAATTATGTACAGAGAAAGAGAGATCCATACGAATAGAGAAGAAAAAAAGCCATCTCAGAGGCTTGCCCCTTTAGGGGCCGAAGAAGTTGCTATCCATCGGCGCGGCCTGGCCACCTATCATGCCGTACTCCATGCTCATCATCTGCTCATTGACATGGTATGGGGCAAATTCCACGCCCTGATCAGGACTGTGACCCCAATACATACCGTCTAGGTCCCAGAGACCATGCTGGTCAAGCATGCCCATTATGCCCATCCCCTCCGGCTCCAGTCCGATGGGTGACATGTGCAGCTCCGTCTCGGTCATCAGTAAGCCCTGCTCATCTCCAATAGCTTGCAAGGGGCTTTCTGACCGCATTGAGGGTTGTCTAGACGCATCATACATTCGCCACACCACCTCTCGGCTTCGGCGTGCTGCCAGGGACCAGTCCTCCATAGCCTCGAGAAGATCCAAGATCGTCTCGATCTGCTGGTGCCACTCGGGAACGCGTGGGCTATTCCACTGCCAGAACACACTCACAAGTGGTATCATAGCAGCCTGGTAGAGGAACCATACAGCGTTCCATCCGGACATTTGATTCCGAGTCCATTCTCGCGCAATGTCCTCGATCGTCTGCTTGGCGAGCTCACGGCACGTCTCAACAGCGTCAACATCTTGCTCTGCGACTTGGGAGGAAGCGACGCTGCTGGCAATGCTGAGCAGGACTGGTCGATGGAGAAGCATGCGGAGGTTTTGATAGCGCCACTTCATAATACACCTGGCCATGTACAGTGGCTCTGCACAGGGATCGGTCGTCCTCAACAACCATGGCAGATTGCCATACCAGTTGACCAGCTGACCATCCAGATTGCAGCGATCTTCTTCCCGCAGCAAAGGAGATGTTGCCAACATGTCTTGTATCTGAGTGGCTATCTTGCAGAACTTGATGTTCTCGATCAGGGGCAGAATACCGGCGTGCTGAGCAGAGTCTCGGGCCTACAAAGACAACTGTTAGCTCCTTTACCACGCTTGCGACGGCACTTAGTCGGTCACTTACTTGGTTGATTCCAAACTCCGGCGGCCGAATGTTGATCGCGGGCCCCCAACGGCCAAATGATGGCCGGCCCATCGTAGTGGTAGCCCAAGTGTCAAGACAGAACAAGCTCCACCATGTACGGCGCCGGGTTTCGGCAGCAGCAATGTCACTGGATCCCTGCGCCAGGCTCTCGCGATGAAGGCCAAGAGCACTCGCCATTCTAATTGCCGCACCAAGAACAGCGTTTGCCATGTTGGGCCTGTTGATATAGTGAAGATAGTAACCGCCAATTAGAGCCAAGGCCTGAACGCTCTCAATGTGGCTACTTCCAAAGGCATCTACTGGAAGATACTCCATGGCCCTGTTGTAATAGTTGATGTGATTGTAATCGTCCGACTTCATGGCCACGACACTGCCCATGGCAAAAACCATATTGAGCAGAGCCAGCCATGGTGCGTCAAATCGCTGGCCTTCGAGGTAGTCAGCACGGAACGAGGCTTCATCCAGCATGGGGACGAAAACATGGATGCGCTTGAAGTAGGCATCAATGAGGGTCTGTCCTTTCCACGACCAGGGGATGCGTTGAGTGTCCTTGGATATGGTGCCCCTTACTCGCGTAGTCGGGAAGTTGTGGGTGACTTCGACGCTGTGGAGCGGGGTGGTGAGAGAATTTCGCAGCGCGGGCTGAACTTTGAGCAAACACATTAGGGCTGCCTTGATTGACGAGGCGCCCAGGTAGGATGATTGCCGATCCACAGATAGGGAGAGTGCGTTGATGTCGTCGGCTTCAATGGGAATGGGGTCGCGGCCACGGCGTTCCTCATCCCACTCAGCGTTTCGCCCCGGCATCAATTCAAGACTGGTAAGACCCTGCTCAGAGCCTGAGCAGACAGGAGACTCGAGCTCTTGGGAGAGAGGAGACGCATGGAGAGGGGGAGAGGGAAGCGCGGTTGGGGTGTTATGAACGGGTCGTTCGAGGAGGCTCAGTAGCTCCTGACGAGAGAGTGGCAGTAGAGATGGGACGTCTTGACTTGGGAACAGGCGCTTCAAGATGGAGCGGCACTCTTCGAGGGACTGTGACAGCGCCTCGAGGGTCTTCCTCGAAGGAATGACGCGTTGCCTGTGCTTGTCATAGAAGCACCTTTTCGGCGCACGACTCGAGAGGCATTGGCCACATGGCTGTTGACCATCGCAGCGGCTGAGATAGAGTCAGATGGGTTCCAAATTGGTAGGTCTGGGCATCAATGCTCACATTTTTCGCCTCTTGCATTCGGCACATGCATGTGGGGTGGTGATTCGCTTAGAGCCCGTCGAGCCAGGTGTTTTCCCGTTGTCTTGGGGCTCATTTGAGGGTTTTCGCGGCGTGACGCCCTGAACTGAGGTACGCGGCTTGAGCAACGATCTAGAGGGAACGGGTGTGAACGTATGCTGAACATGTACTTACAAGTATGGAACATGCCACCTTGGTTGGGAACCGGAATTGAAGGAGCCATGCTCACCGCCGGCGACAAATGCTTCTTGCTTTGGAGTATCAGGTGCAAGGAGGCCGCTCAGCTTGAGGGCCGCGAGTAGAGGCAAAGAGAATAACCCCGAGATAGCAAGCAGTACAGCTCTGGGAGACCTGCCTCGGTCGTTGCCTGCTGAGGGAGTAACAGGTTCGTTTGTGTTGAGTGAAGGCACTGGATGAACGGTTGGATCATGTCGGTTGAACCCAAATCTTATATATCTACAAGAGAGGCTAGTTGAGGAAAACCGGAAGACGCACGAGAAGTCCGGCAGCTATTCAGAGGACCGCCAGATCGGCAACATTGGGTGTGGAGAAGGTTGTCAGGGGTATATGTGAGCATGTATGACGAAGAAGGGCGATGGAACATTAATGCCGTGTCGGCTGGCCGGGCTGGGGCGAGTAAACCAAGCCTGAGGTGAACTTGAACGAACTGGCTTGTGGGAGGCACCCTTCGGGGGTTAGCCGGGGTGGAAGAAGATGGGGACGGAACAGGGATTAACCTAAGCCAATGTTAGCTGGGCCAGCCGAAGCGGTTGAATGCTGTATATTTGTTCCGGAACAGCGACGATGTGTGCCCATGTGGTAGGGGACGATGCACCTTTGAAGAGTGTGCGGTAGCCATCACGGCTAGCGAGGTGGGTTGAAATGTTGGTGTGTTGTTACCAGGTCTGGTCGCCCAAGATGCTGGGCTATTCTCATGCGAAGGCTGGCTGTGATGGCACAAAGCGCATGTACGATGTTTGGTATCGCCCGTCTTGAGTTGCTGAGATCAGGAACATGTTCAAGCAATACGGCGGTATTCACGCAAAAGAAGGTGGGACGGGTCGTACGGATCCATGAATACGATTGGGTATGGCTGTGAGTGTTTAATATCAGATGCGGAGAAGAAGGGTACGTATGTGTAGAAAATGTGGTTGGGTCCACTCGATGGAAAGTCGGAAAGTCGGTTGAAGAGCTGATTGGGGCTTCGAAACCTGGAGAAGTTGGAGCAGGGACGAACATTCGTTCGCATGACCAGCCGTGTGAGGGGCAATAAAAAAAATAAAAATAAAAAAGGACGGGAAAAAAGAGAGGGTGTTTGGAAGGACATGAAGGGGACTCCAACCCAGGAAAAGCAACAGCCACTTGGAGAGGGGGTGGTAAGGTGATACTGAGGGGTATCTCAGGCAGGTTACCTTAGGTACCTACCTGACCTACCGTTCCCGATGGCACTGGCGATGCGATGTGATGAATTTGCCCATGACAGCCGTTAACCATTCACTGGTGGGGAAATCTCAATCGGGCGGGGCCATGGCGGAACACCACGACGACACAGGTACGGTCCACGGATACCACACCTGTGCTTGATTAAGGTCAGGCTGCCCCACACTTTCCGCCGTCCGAAGTGAAGTAAGGTAAGGCACCTTACCGAGACTCTGAGCGCCGACGGGACCTCGGGTGACGGGACCTGACCTGGTGAAGTTCTCCAGGCACTATGTATTTCCGTCCCTCCGCTTCACCCCCATAAGGTACGTAGAGTCGGGTCCTCAATTCCTGCATCTCTCCAATATTTTGCCACACCTCAGTCTAGCGATAGCCAGCAGGACCGCGCCGCCGATCCAGGGTAGACCCCAGCGATGCCCCTGCTTCTCCAAACCACCCCACAACCTAAAGGTTATTGAAGAAAACGAACGATTGACAGAACAGATCATCTACGGATACTGTCCACGGAGACATGAGGGTAGGGTGTCAAGACCAAAGAGGAAGAAAATAAAAAGTGCCAATTCGAAATTACCCTCAACACATCAAAACCACAAGCAGCCCATAATCGCGGCTGTGCACGATTGTCCAACTAAGATCCTCCACAACGGAGAAACGGCCCTGCTGCAACCACCCGGGACGCATAATATCCCATCCAGTAGCGAATCTCGTTGACCACACAAATGAAGCGGCCCATGATCCCGCCGCGTCTTCCTGTTCACTTCAACTAAGGTACCCGGGAATTGCGAACTCTACCGGCCGTCCCATGACCCATTCTCTCCCTCCTTAGTATCCACCGCCATTGGCACAAGCTGTTTCTCTCCCAGTTTTGTCCCCCCAATTACTTCCTCTTAGCGCCCCTGCGTCCCTGCACTTCACATCACAGATGTGCAGGACCAGATTTAAGTGCTCGGCTACGAGATGTGGCGGACAATGCTCGGAGGACCCACGTTGCATGCAAGGAACATCAGGTAGGTATCCGTAGTACAGATGCCTCACCTGTCTTCTGCGCATAGATTGTCTGGTCGACACGTTGGCTGGCAACCCTGCAACGCCGTCATCTTCAACGAGACGGGAAAATTGTGCCTGGCCTGGAACTTCTCCCGGCGAACCGCGCCGTGACCATTGCCATGCACACCTACACAGAGACACACACGCACATACCCCAGCTTTTCCTCTGCCGCCCGCTATCCGCTAACGGGAGGCAATTGCCTGAAGTTAATCGACTGCCCTCCTTTACCCGGCAGATGATCCAATGCACCTCTTTCACATGCGGTCTAGCAGACAGACAGTAACAGCCGTCAAACAGCGCGTAGGCCTGCTCAACCGGCTACATCTCTCGCTTCTGCGCCCGAGTGGTCATGTGTTAACGTGCATCCGCCCGTCCCTGATCCTCGGTCTGGAACAACAGCGTTGTCAGACTCAATGCGTAAAGTTGATTGGGGTTGCGTTGTGTCTCGACGTCGCATCGTGCGACGACTGCCCGATTACCTCCCCACATCCTCGCGTCTTTCGGTCGACTTGGGAAGGAGACAAGCAGATTTCCATGCAAATGTTGGCTACCATGGCTGGGAAGACTCGGCCAGCTGCTGATGCTCCGTGGAAGTCTACACGTCCTGTCGTTCAGTCTGTGAGCTTGTTTGTCCACGGCCCCAACCCTAATGCTGTCCATATGCATTCATTCTTCATCTTCCTCAGCCCTCCCCTACGGCTTCTGCCTCTTCTCTCTCCCCATCTACCCTTCACATAGCGGCAACTCTACAGGCTCAGAGCGCGGATATTATTGGAGGCTGTGTTGCTAGACGTGTTTCTCGGCAGATGCTGCGAACTCCATACCGCAACATCCGTTAAATCTTGAACGGTGTCGATGATGTCAACAAAGTACCGGGGCACCAAGCGACTCACAAGGCTGTGTCCGTAATACCTCGTTAATGGCGGGGTGAAATATGCGCTTTCCACACAGACTTCAGACAGGGGTCTAGCGACTATCAAAAGTTGATGTCCAATTCCACATGCCCCATGTCAAGAGGTTCTGCTTAATACTGGCCATCGGACCTAACGACCCGTCTGAGTCTCTTCTCCTTCCCTAGCTGCATCCTTCCTGTGAGAATGAAAAGTCACGGGTGTTCAGGACAGGGGTATATGTATGTCTGCGCGCGAATGATCTTTGGCTTGCTGGATTCAAAGGTACCTATGCATTGTTGCAACTAATAGCTTGATCTGACACTGACAAATTTCCTTTTGGTGGCATCTGGAATAATTCAGATCACTTTGCAGTCTCCATTCTCAAGACGGCTTAAGCTCACAAGACCCAAGCAACAGCGTCGACCGCGGAGATTTTGCATGTCTATGACACTGCCCATCACTTCGGGAGACTCGTTTGTGCCTATCGCAAGGCACTCGAAGTCAACGTACCCCGCCCGTTTGAGAACCCCATGAGAACTTCTGAATAGGAGGTCGCTCTCAAGTTGTTGGAACGATATCTTGCAGAGGGCATTAGGTGGTCAGCAGAGCTAGCATAGGGCAACGATGACAAGACGGTTTGGTGCCCGTCGGGCATTTTCACTTTTCCTTCTTTGTTCCTAGAGACTTAGACCGGAGGTTGTTGCTGGGCGTGGGAGGCATCCCCTCTGCTTGCCCACTTGGTCTCCATCGTCAGCAGCAGAACAAAACTCGTCACTGGGTGCCCTTTACAGCCAAACGATATAGGATTGCTGACTTGAAAATTGGGATTCTGACAATACCTGCACGGAATCTAACTGTGCGTGATAAATCGCAAGTATGTGAACGACACACATTGTGTGAGGCCTGCCATTCAAGTTACAAACTTATATCTCACGGGGAAGCCGCTATTCGGCTCCCAACTCTAAGCCTCCTTCACAGTCACATTCTCAGAAACAACACTTACACCTCTCTACTAGACCATACGTCCGAACCCCGGCAGTATTGATGCCCTTTGCGCCGGTCGAGCCCACCATCCCCCAGCGTTCCACCCAAATCCTGACTGCAAGGGACTGCGGTCCGACGAGATCCACGTCCTTCCCCAGGCCCCCCACACGCTCAACCGGGTCTTTCGAATTAGTTGTCGAAGGGTTGCATTCCCCTGCCCTGCACAACAGTTTTGTGCACCACACATGCAAGAGTGCCGTCTTCACGCCGAGCCCAGAAGCCTAAATATCTCAGCGACCAGTGTTTTTCTCACACTACTAGTTGGACGTTCCCCAATGTCAGGGGACCCTTCCCTCCGAGATCTGCAAGCCCGACGCTGAAGTCCATAGGGAGATTGTGCATGTTTTCGTCTACCCCTCCAAATGCATGTATGCCGGTCGAAGGGTGCCATTGATTGCGATGCGTGCTGAAGTGGCAAGGGAGGTCGGCAGAGTGGAAAGCTTTCCCGGGTCTAGAAGCGAAGTACCTGGGTCCGGCTCCCAATGCCGTCGAATATGCACGTGTTCTCTATTGGGATGTACTGATTCGTGATTATCTTGATCGTCTCCTGGGCCACCATGCCGCCTGCCGTGGCGGAGACGTTGTGAAGTTCTCCGCCACGAGCACGGGACACCTCGTGAGCGGCTTCGATGACTCGTTTGTTGCCATCAGCATCTGGCAAGATTTTCTGGACGGATGCCATAATGGCATCCGGTGTGGCCGAAGATGTGTGAGATGTTGCGTGGAGAGCAAGATATATTGGCAGAAGCGAAAGAGGCATCGGCATCGACGGGTCCTTAGCCAGCTCATCGTTGGCAAATTCCTGTTCTGTCAATGGTTCAGCTGTGGCACCTCTGAAGTAGACAACGGTGCTATACTTACGAGCTACGCTTCTTAGTTGGCCGTCCCCGTCAGTTGCAGGGATGATTAACTTGATGAAAGCGGCATTTTTGCAAAACATGTCAACTTCAGCTGGGTCAACGCTTTCGCCACAAGGGTTTTGGCGAACAATGCTCAGAACCTCAGCGGCGTCCTTGCGAGCCTTGTCCTTGTAGATGTTTTGTAGCTTGATGTAGACGCTCGATTGGGCCTTCATGTCCGGAAGACCGCCGGGCAGCGGCAGACATTTGTGCTTCTCGTAGAAGCTGCGAACTGCAGCGGCAATGACCCAGAAACTTGATGTTGATTCCAACTGTGACTAGGTGAGCACCGATTCCTATGCGGTTTATTCCGTCCGTACCTCGTTAGTGTGCTGGTACTCAAACACCTGCTTTACAGCACTGGGCAGGGATGGCTGCGAGATGGTTTTCAAGACCGCAGCGACAGCCTCTTCAAAGTTTTCCTCGCCACCTTCTGCGTTATCGACCCTGGCAGCGTTGGCCACCATCTTGCGGAACTCGACTTTCTCCTTATAGTTGGTGGGCGGCACGTCAGCATGGGTTGATCTCCACATTTTGAGGTAATGTAAAAGAATCACTACGAACGGCAAGTGACCGTGCTCGTGGTTATCAAGGCCGTCGATATCCTTGGTCATGTTCTCGGCAAAAGCCGTCAGTTCTTCCCAAGGTGTCAGAAGACGCAAGTCCGTGGTGGCAGTTGCATCTGGGTGAGTGTCGACGATGGGGTAGACGCCAGGGAGACGTAGCCTAAAGTAAGCGTAAAACCCCGCTGAGTGGATGGCGATGAGTGGCGTCTTGCGTTCTCGGCTGTAGGACTCGAGTGCGTTGAGATGTTCGGTTCTGATGGGCAGCGCATACAGGATGATTGTGAAAGGGCTGTCACTGCCTAGAACTTCTCCAAGTTCCAGGGTTTCCTGTTCCTGTAGTTGGCACATGAGCTCCTTGATATGGTTCATTCTGTGGTAGCTCACCGAGTTCCGAGGATACCAATCACCCTCCACTTCTGGGTTGAGCTCAAGAAGTAGCTCGGTGCAGCACTGTGCACGAGACTTACCCAGTGAGCTCTCGTCAAGGAAAAAGTTGACACCCAGATCAGCCTCAGTCACGGTAGTGTCGTCGGCGATGGTGAATTTTCCGATACCTGAGTTCGATCAGCTGCTCTTTTCGGCTCCAAAGAGGTATAGTCACATGATGCCTACCTGGGAGAACAAGATTCTTCAGTGTTTCTACGCCTATAGTCCCCGAGCCGGAGTTGACCAGCAGTACATTGGCTGACTCCAGAGCAGCCTGGCCGCTGGCGGCCCATAATCTGAGCTGGCGATCATACTTCTTTTCCTTCTCTGAAGGAACAGAGAGGCAGGGCAGAGCTTGACCGGCGATGATATCAGTCATATTGGACTGTACGCCACAGAGGATCGAACGATCTGGGAGGGTTGTACGCTTATGTTGTGACGCTGACAGACGGAACTTGAAGGCTGTGAAGACGTCCAGGTACCGTTGCCGCGAGATGTCTCCGCTGAGATGAGTAGAAGGCCGACTGATCCGCTTGGTTGACCTGGCTGGGTGATGCGAAACCAATTCGAAGAATAGCGTATGTGGTAATCCGATTGCACTTGCCTGCCTAAGATAGCAGGGTAGGTAAGTAAGGTATGGAGCGTTTGCTGAGGTAGTCACTAGTGTACGCGAGGTAGGCACCTACAGGGCTCGGCACGTCCCAGAAAGACTGGTCAGGGAATGCTTACATAACAGCAATCCGAGCTGGACCTAAGGTAAGGTAGGTACACCCGGCGACCCCGGTAGGTGGCCGTGCCGGGAGCTTGAGGTGGCTTCACTCTTTCGGAAGTGTGGCAACTATCTTCCGGGCGTGACAGCGGGCCCAGGTCTCGTCTTATCAGTCTTCCACGAGTGCTATCTCGTCTATTCTAGACAGGAAATCAAGCTGAAATCGGGAAATAAGCAAAATGGGGAGGTAAGTCAACTTTCATGTTCCCCTTCATTTTCGCTTTCGTGCCCGCGGGAGAATTTTCTTCTTGCCGCCCTTCACGTCCTGCTGTTGTCTCCATCCGTCCCCTTTTTTGCTTGCCCCTTGCAAGTGCTCCGATAGTACTGTTTAGCAGAGAGGGAGCTCGGCCGCCCTACTTAGTAGAAAATTTCGACTCACGCACCTTTCACCAGGCGCCCGATGCCACAGAGACACCGCCATCTCCATGAATGTCTTCTGCGCAAAAGCAATCATGTTCGCCTAGGTGGGAAGGTGTATCTTGTCGTCTTGACATTGATGCGGAATAGGTGCATACACGTTCAGATGCTGGCTGACACCGAAACGAAGCCGACTAGAACCTCCAGGGCTTCCGGGATATTGCCCAAGGATTGAGACGCTCAACGAAGCGCTGTTCAACCTTTAGCCCGCATTCTCCAATTCATTCCTCGCGCATGCATGCCCACTAGGGAGTCTACCCATATTGTGGCTTGGTGTCTCTGATGCGCGTTGCGCCTTTGCTTTGGTTGGCCCCCTTTTTGTTATGCCGGCGTTTGGTGCATCATCACGTTGCCAGCAGACACCGACCCCGATCTCCAATGACCTCCGATGCTAGGTTCGGTATTGAGGCTCGTGGACCACAAGAGTCGGCTTACCCACAAGATGGCAAGAACGAGACCCGTGGACGGATTCAAGGGAACCGACCACTGGCATGTTGCATTGGCTCAAGTCGAACCTAGACCGTGCCTGTCGCCCACAACCTCAACGGCGCGCGGCTCGAGGTCTTGACTACTTAGCATTCCTCATCTGTAATCAAAACATGCTGGCCCCGAGCGAGAACTACGAGACGCCGAAAGTAGTGAGCGCCTGCAATCTTGACGACCTTCTTCTTTTTCCTCTTCTTCTGTTCCTCTCGGTTGGCTTTGCCCTTGCTTACACTGGCCTTGCGCCTTGTCTCACAACTGGTCTCAGTCTCTGGGGTCGGCGTGGCGCGCCGGCTCCACGCCGTCTTCGCCCACGGAATCAGCTTACGGCCGGCAGCGTCGGGCGAGAGACAAACGAATAGGGCCATGAGCCGCGAATTCAGACACACTAGGATGTTGATTGCCCAGAGACGGTGGTTAAATTATGTGACTTGCCTCGGGGCGTAGTTCGGAGCTAGTGGATCAAATGCGAATGCATTCTGAACGCCGAACATGCTTTTTCGTGTGGTCCTGTTTCCATTTGTCGCTCCGAACGCCGACTCGTTTTTTCCTTGCATTCGGAAATGGCACCATCTATCTGTCTTTTTAATCGCGGTTCTCCGTTGAGTCGTGTCTGCTCTGTCGTGTTTGCTCGCTCCTCGACGCGCCTCCCAAGCGCCATCCACTCGCTGTTCCGCCCATCTCAACGCCGCGGCATTCTTCACTATGAGTTGTGCTGTCCTGCCGCCAACCGCTGTACCTGTTTATCACGAGTCGTCGTCGCCGCAAATGGTCCGAGCCAAAGGATCTACAGCCTGACGTTGTGGTGCTGTCCTTTCCATCGGAGAGGTTGCCCTGCCCTAGCACAGTTGGCTTTCGTCTCTCTTGTTAGAAAGCTCCAAGCCTGCCGATGCTGTCGCCAAACGCCATATATATACCGCATATTGTACTCACGATCGATCGACAAGCTTTCCTTATCAGAACACTCAAACGCTCTATCGGACGGCCTGTCAGGCAAGCCTGAGATCACTGTCACTTAGGTAGCGATGGGTCACTTGAGGGGCGATGTCGAGACCACCAAGGCGGAGACGTTGCCGAGGCATCAATATCGCGATGCCTCCCTGCCAGCATGGAGATTTTGGTTACTGAGTGTCGGGTGTGTAACTTTCGTCCGCATCGCCTGTGTCTCCAGTACTGATCAAGAGCTAGACTTTGCCTTGGCCTTTTTCTGTCCATGTTGGACTCTTCTATTGTTGCCACGAGTCTGTATACGATCGGCGCAGAATTTGAATCCATGGGTCTCATCAACTGGGTCGCGTTGGCTTACACGCTCACCTATCTGAGTTGTGCAGTACTCTTTGCTCGAGTCTCCGATGTTGTCGGGCGCCGTAATGCTTTCTTGGCAAGCTTCGTCATCTTCTTCTGCTTCTCCCTTGGCTGCGGCTTTTCTCAGAACCTTGAGCAGTTGATCGCATGCCGCGCACTACAAGGCCTAGGCGGCTCTGGTATGCTGAACACACTGTATTCTCACCGGAAAAGAAACTAAGTGACTGCAACAGGTTTGTACTCCATTACTATGATCATATTCCCAGAGGTCAGCCCGAAGCATCTGCGCCAGCATATCGCCAGCCTCGTAGGAATGGTGATCGCTAGTGCTGGTGTTCTTGGACCCGTACTTGGCGGCATCTTAACGCATTACACCTCTTGGCGATGGATTTTCTGGATCAAGTAAGTCTACTCATAGCCATAACGGGCTGGCGCTAAATTGCTACTAGTGGTCCAGTTGGATTTGTATCCATGGTCGTTTTCTACTTGACTTGGCCTCAGGCTAAGCACCTCCCAAGCCTGCAACGTCGAACTTGGAAAGAACTAGACTTTGTTGGGTCCTTCCTCCTCGTGGCTGGCTCCGTGCTCGTTGTTTTCTCGTTTCAAAACGTTGGCTCGGATGGAGACAAGTGGCATCGGGCTATTTTCATAGTCCCAGTCACTGTAGGTGTCTTCTCCTTCATTGCCTTGGTGGGCTGGGAGACACTTGTAGCTCGGTTCTGGGACAAGCGCGTTATGGCGGCAATTCCGATTCGACTGCTAAGAAACCACGTGTACGTCGCTGCTATGCTGCACACTATGTTTTTGGGATTTCCGTACCTGCTTGTTGTCTACGCCTTCCCTGTTCACCTGCAGATCGTCAACAACAAAAGCTCCTTGCTCGCCGGCATACTTCTCCTGCCGATGCTAGGATCCGTCGCTCTAGGCAGTACTCTTGGCGGCCTGGTGAGCAAGAACAGAAACCTTCTCTTTGAGACTCTGTTCACCGCAAGTTGTTTCATGACGCTGGGGTGCGGACTGTTAACAACATTATCACCGTCGGTCGAGCTGGAGCCGAAGGCACTAGGTTTTTTAACCCTGATCGGCTTCGGATTTGGATTGTCAGCAACGTCGGCCACTATCCTTGGCACAACAGAATCCGAGATTCCGGACCATGGTAAGTGCCGCGTCAGCCCTGCACCTCTTCTATCTCCGCTGCTGACAGAGCACAGCTGCAGCCCAGGGAATCATCGCACAAGTCCGTATTCTCGGCGGTAGTCTAGGAATTGCGGCGTCGACGGCGATCTTAGGCACTCATATGAGAGAAGAGCTGGCAGGAGTCCTAGGACCAGACCACTTGTCAACGATAACTGGAGCGGGGACGAGCTTGACGGAGGCGCAAGCTATGGCTGTCCGACAGGTGTACGCAGACTCATTCCAACAAGACATGAAGGTTGGTTCCATCTTATCAGGCGTGGCAATACTGATCAGCTTGGGAGCCTATCGCCGAAATCGGATTTCGATCGAAGAGCAGCGACAACTGCACATCAAGACAGAGATGGAGAGGAGAAGAAGGGCGTCGGCAGCGACGACGCTCGTGTCTTCAACAGATTGAATTTGGATAAGGCTGGCTGGTCTGGTTTTGGCGTACGATAGATGACACATAGATTGGCGAGCCCGGCGGCAACGCATGATGAATAGACATGACAATGCATTCTTTACTATAGGTTTCCATACGCACTCTTCTGCTGATGAGCAGCGAGAGTCTTGGACTGCAGGGGCGGGGGAAGTAAATGCCGCCAAGTTCGACGTTGCCTTGCACTCATCGTCCCATTAGTGGGCGTTTGGTATGACGAGCAGCTTCAGAAGACAACACGCAATGTGGTATTGCCTGGCCCCTAAGTACCTGCGCCAAAGCGCGACGAAGTTCTCTTTACTCCTTTTCTGGTCGTTTACAGCGGTGAAAATGAAATGAAAATGAAAACGAACGACCGTACCCAAGATCTATAATAAAAGCACACGCCTCGGATAGAAATGATGCAATCGCGTTCCCCCGCCGGTTATCGGGCTGTTGAAACCCCGCATAGTGGGGCTTATCCATTCCGTCCGCCGTATCGTCTTTCTACGATCTGCTTCCCCTCGTCTTATCCGTCTCTTGACAGTCGGAAACGTGCTAAGAATCATTCGTCCCTGGGGTTACACGCTGCCTTGGCCTAAGGGTTCAAATCAACATCTTAAAGTCGGCCCTTACTTTTAAGTCCCGAGTTTTGCAATCTCCCTTCCCTCCTCCTCTGGCTCTTACACATGAACCGCATAGTCTGCTCGCTGTCTTCTACGCTCTGCTCTCGTCAACGCCTTCGTCTATCGCCCACCTTCCAGACCATCTTCAACAAGAGCCACATCAGAACCATCATGTCTGCCACCGCTGCCGCCAGACGCCTTGAGGGCAAGACGGTGCTTATCACTGGCGCCTCCAGTGGTATTGGAAAGAGCACTGCCTTTGAATACGCGCGGACGTCGCCTCATAACTTGAAACTCATTCTCACAGCCCGTCGTATTGACAGTTTGAAAGAGATCGCCGCAAAGATCAACGAGGAAGTCGGAAATGGCGTCAAGATTCATCCTGTCAAATTGGACGTGAGCAACCCGGAGGAGGTCCGCCAACTTGTGCCCAACCTACCCGAGGATTTCAAAGACATCAGCATCCTGGTGAACAACGCGTAAGTCCCCACCCATGATATTCTAACAGCTTTCCCCATGGTCCTCGCGGTTGCAGTAATTGAGTAAGACTGATGTTGGCATGCAGAGGTCTCGTCAAGGGCGTCGCAAAAGCCCCTGAAATTGCCGAGGAAGACATCAATGTCATGTTCGCAACCAACGTCACTGGTCTTATCAACATCACCCAGGCCATCCTGCCCATTTTCAAGTCGAGGCCCGACGGTGGCGCCGGTGACATTATTAACATTGGCTCTATTGCCGGTAGGTAGAACTGGTCCATAGGGCTGAGAACTTTGTTGACGTAAAACCACAGGTCGCGAGCCCTACCCGGGTGGTTCTATTTACTGTGCCACCAAGGCTGCTGTGCGTAGCTTTACGGACAGTCTGAGAAAGGAGCTCATTGCCACTCGCATCCGCGTCATCGAAATCGATCCCGGACAGGTTGAGACTGTACGTCCCCGACTCAAGGCGGAACGCCAAATGCCTGCCGGCTCCTTTTCTAACCCAAACTTAGGAATTCTCCGTCGTCCGCTTCTATGGTGACAAGTCCAAGGCCGACGCCGTCTACGCGTAAGTGAATAGCCTCGGAGTTCCCACGGCTTTCGTCGATGTTCTTTCCAAACATCTCAGACGCTCCCCCATCTGGAGTTGGTATAGACTGAGCTGACGATCGCCTGGGTACAGCGGCTGCGAGCCCCTGACTCCCGACGACATTGCCGAAGTAGTCGTTTTTACCAGCACGCGCCGGGAGAACGTGGTTGTGGCAGACACCCTCATCTTTCCCCAGCACCAAGTAAGTCAATAAATGAAGGCAAATCGTCAATGGCTCGACTGATATGCTACTAGGGTGCTGCAGGTATCCTCCATCGCAAGTCTTGAAAGTAATCCGCAGTACTGGGGATATTTAATCGAGAAAGCTTAGCGTTACTAAGCATTTGCGACCTAGGCGAAGTTGATGAGCCTGGACTCGTTGAGTTAAGCAACTGCATAGATAGATTCAACTAACTTGATAATGAGGAATTGGGTATCCATTTCTAAATGATATATCAGCAGTAACAGGCCATGGCGATGTGCTCGATGCTGCAAAGAGCCGTTAAAAAAATGTGCGAATGCAAGCTCGGAAAGATGTCCGATAATGCGCTTTTCCGTTACTCAACAACGTGTGTAGGCACATACCTTAAGGTACCGAAATACTTACGCACGCCTCCCCGCCCGGGTCACGAAAGTAGGTACGCAGTATGGTACCTAGGTATCTGAGTAAGGTAGGTAGGTACTGATTTGCCGCCTCCTACCCAGCCCAGAGGAACACCTGCCCACCGACCACCTGGCCGAGACTCCCCGCAAGCACGTTGCGCATCGGCCTAAGGTAGGGGGTCCACGGGTAACGTTTGGGACACTCAAGTGCCCTAGCAAATACCTACGTACGTCGTAGCCTAGTCCCTAGGTACCTTCGGGTAAAGGTAGTCCCCAAAGAGGCGACAGCAAATTAAGCAAAGACAACGACATCCCCTAGACCGCCTCTTTAACTCTTGTCAACAGTCCTCATGCCCCTCTCCTAACTCTTTACTTACACACCTTGCTTCCACGACGACTGCCTGGCTCGACAACCCCTCAGCTGTGTCCATGCCGCGCGCGGTTGGCATATTGCTCTCAGTCGCACCGCATCAATCTGCTCTGATCCCAATGTCAATGCAACTTCGTTGACACCTACTTCGTCGGTCCGATTCAACCGCGTCGCAGTACTGCTTTCGCGCCATGCAAAGCCTACCACGGCCATGAGCAATCGAAATGGGCTTCACGACCTTCCTCGGCTCCTCCACCGAACGAGTGCATTCTCCTCGCACAAAGCCTTCGGCTCCTTCATCCACCGACAAAGTCGACAACATTCTGAATGTAGACTCGGACGTGACCGAGGACACCACCTCTCACAATGGTTACATCTACGACGAATCACACCTGTGCAGTCTGCCAGCCGACTGCCCCGATATACGCGAACTTAATAACAGTTTGGTGGCCCTGGCCGCCGTGTTTCCCGACGTCCAGATCCAGGTTTTCCGCGAAATGCTTTCCAACTTCGACCAAGAGTCCAGGCTTGCCGTAGTTGCCGACGCCCTTCTGAAAAACCGTGTCGCCTGGGTCAAAGGTCGCTGGAGAGTCGCCAGTCATCAGCGCACAGAGCCCCAACGGCACGAAAAAGACCTAGGAGAACCAAAAAACCTGCTGGTTCCCCGTGTCGAAACATTTCGAGCTTCTGACTACAAGCAGGCCGTTCAAGCCTTGGCCTGGCACGAGTTCAAGGGTCTCTCGCGATCCACTATCAACGCTGTCCTTGCGGAATCCAACTATTCATATCTCGAAGCACGCAAAATCCTCGTGTCTCTCTCGTCGAAGTCCTGGCGTTTTACCATATCCTCTCTTTTCCTCCGGAGGAAGCCTGTGGCATCTGTCGACGCCGAGAACCATCCCCTAGTAGTCTGGAAGTCAACCGGACAGGGCGCTATCGTGCCGTCTTTGAAAGCTACGGGAAATGCCGAACTGGACGGCGAATTGTATCGTAATCTAATCCAACCACTGAAGGAGAGGGCCAGGCAAGCGCAGGAGGAAAAAGACCACGGTTATGCCCTTCTACTGAATAACGAACAGGCCGAGGAGGTTCACGCCTATCACGAATGTGCTTGCTGCTTTACCGAGTCCACCTTCGAGGAATTCACGAACTGCAATGCGGATGGCCACATGCTATGCTTTCGTTGCGTTCAACATTCCATCAAAGAGGCTGTTTTTGGCCAGGGTTGGCACAGCAGCATCGATATGGATTCCGGCACGCTCAGATGCCTGGCGGTCGAAGGGGACGGATGCTCTGGCTTTATCCCGTACGATCATATGCGCCGCGCAATGCTAGAGGAGAAGAAAGGAGCAGAAATCCTCCACAAGCTCGACCAACGTTTGGCGGAAAACAGCCTGCTGGCATCAAACTTACCGCTCATCCGGTGTCCATTCTGCGAATATGCCGAAGTTGATGACATTTACCTGCCGGCTGACGAGACACGATTACGCGTTAGGCTTGACAGCCTTCTTAGCCTTTTACTAATTTTACTTTGCATCCTAACGGTGCCCTTCATTCTCCCCATAGCATTACTCTCATCAGTCGTCTGTCTCTTGGTCAGCACCGAGCGCACGTTGGGCGACTACCTCGTAATTCAATGGAAACTCGCTCTCGGTCGCCATCGAAGGCGGCGTCGCGGACTGAAGTTCACTTGTCAGAACCCTGATTGCAACAAGAATTCTTGTCTATGCTGCTCCAAAGCGTGGACAGACATTCACGTGTGCAACGAGTCATCCTTGGTTGCGCTGCGTACACAAGTGGAGCAGGCCATGAGCATGGCCATCAAACGAGTCTGCCCGCGTTGCCATACGTCCTTCGTCAAGAACTCAGGCTGTAACAAACTTACCTGCCCTTGCGGATACAAGATGTGTTACGTATGCCGCAAAGACATCGGGGGCATGAACGGCGAGGGCGAAGGTTACCGGCATTTCTGTGATCACTTCAGGCCTGATGGCGACCCGCGACCATGCACTGAGTGCACGAGGTGCAATTTATGGGAGAGTGAGGATACGGACTTCGTGCTGAGGCAGGCGAAGGAGGAGGCCGAGGCCAAGTGGCGGGAGATGGAGAACCGGGAGTTGAGTGGTGCAGAGAAGGCCTTTTTGGAGACGGGCTTCGCTAGGAATGGAGTCTCGTCGGTCGAGAGTTACATCAAGAACGGACGATTGCCGACCTTGGCCGAAGTGTGCGACTTTATAGTCGAAACCAGCTTCGTCTGACGTCCGGCCAGTGAGTGGTTTACAGATCACCCACATTGTTGCCTGGTTAGACAAGCTCCTGAAGAACACCACTTCTGTGGTTTGGGCCGAGACAGGGCGACTTGAAATCCAACGGTTGTCCCACTTTTGGCTTGCAGGAGCACATCTGGTCGTCGTGATGTAGAAATGGCACCTTCTGCCAGCCAGCCGTCCCAAGCGGGATGCCCAATAGGGGTTGGGATCATCAAAACGTCCGTATCGGCTCGCTATGAAAGAATCATTTGCAGCAAGTACTACTTGGTAATTGGCAAACAGGCTAAATCTGGATGCATCGCATCGATTTCCTGATAACATGTATCATTACGAAGAGAAGACACGTAATGTCACTGATTGATTGTACATGAATTTACGTGTCGAGCCACGAACTTAGGTCCATTTCTATGAAGCCTGCTGGAGTTCCAGCTTGCAACTACACCGAGCAAATCCGAACACGCTAGATCTTACCCTTATCGGCCAATAGCTCTGCTGCGGCGCCGCCGATGGCGAGCTTGCCCGTCTCCTTCACCTTGGTCTGGAAGATGACCTTACTGCCGTCTTTCCACATTTCCGTAACCAGAGTTTGGCCAGGAATTACGGTGCCAGCAAAACGCACCTTAACGTTCTTGATGGGGCCGAAACGCTCATAGACGGCCTTGCCGGCGATGCCAAAGAAGCATAAGCCATGAAGGATGGGGGCTTTGAAACCTCCCATCTTGGCAAAAGCTGGGTCGACGTGCAGAGGACTACGACCGAACACATTAGGGTGAACTCGACAAGAAAAGGGCAATCTTGGGGGCAAACGTACTTGTAGTCGCCGCTCAGTCGGTACAATGCAGCCTGCTCCTCGGTTGTCTTTTCCTCAATGACGACGTCAGGATGCCTAGAGGGAGGCTTGTTTGCAGCGGTGCTGGCTCCGCGGTCAGCTGGTTTCTTCTGGCCGCCAAAGCCACCACAGCCTCTCAAAAACACTGTCATCTCGTTGTAGAAGATGGGCTCCTTAGTCTCTGCATTGACAGTCGTGATGCCGTTCTTGACGATGGCAGCGTTACCCTTGTCAACTACCTCGAGCAGCTTCCCGTACGATACGAGCTTCGCCGTTGTAGGTATGGGATACTTCTTGATCTCAAGGTACTGCTCCCCGTGTAACAGCATCATTGGAGAAAAATTCGGAACGATATCGTCGAAGTTGTATGGCATTTCTGTTCCAAAGGGAGGTATGACTCCAAACGTCGGAATTACTTGGAAGTCATCAGCACCCTCGAAGACATACTTCAGCTGCTCGCGCTTGGCACCAATTCCCAAGTTGTAAAGCATGACGTCACGCTCTTCGTACTGGAATTCAGTGCCCTTTGGTTTGGCATTCATCGCGGCCTTGATGGCTTCGAGGTACTGCGATCCACTGCCAGACGATTCGTCTTGCTGTAACTCATGGTCAACAACTTGGGTTTTTTTTCTTAAGTCTAGCGCTACTATACAACGTGTACCGACAGCATCATCGGGAAGTGCAAAGTCATACCTTGTTGGTCTTGTTTTCCATGTTCGCCATGACCTTCTGAAGACCATCCTGTGTCTTTTCGGGATGGTCGGCGCGTCCATCCTCAAAGTTGCGAATAGCATCCCAGTATTTCAGCACCTCCTCAGGTGTTAATGGGACGTCGACCGGGAAGCCGTGGCCGCCGCTTCGTTGCCAGCGGGTCTGGCCAACCCAGCCACTGCCGACTTCGTATAGACCGCCGGTAGGGTTTTTCGGCACTTTATCACTGCAAAGGGCCAAAACAACTGGGGCGATGTAGTCAGGCTTGAAGGCCTGGACCATCTCCTCGGGCATGATCGTCCTAGTCATGGCTGTACCAGCGTTGGGCGCGATAGTGTTGACGTAGATGTTGTACTTGTAGCCCTCGAGAGCCAGTGCGCGAGAGAAGCCCAAGATACCGCATTTCTGCGTGCCTGTCAGTCAAGCAACTTTGCGCGTACGGGGATGCAGAAACACGTACAGCAGCTGCGTAGTTTGCCTGGCCAAAGTTACCGTAAATACCCGAGGTAGACGTAGTGTTGATTACGCGACCATACTTCTGCTTCAGAAAGTAGGGCCAAGCAGCTTTGGTAACCTTGTATGTGCCACGGAGGTGTACGTTCAACACAGGGTCCCACAGACTGTCATCCATGTTGTTGAAAGCCTTATCGCGGAGGATGCCTGCGTTGTTAATAACAATATCAACCCGGCCAAAGGCATCGATGGCAGCTTTCACGACTGCATCGCCGTCCTCAGCCGATGCCTTCACTCCGACAGCCTTTCCTCCGAGTTTCTTGATCTCGTTGACGACGTCGTCAGGATTCGCTAGGTCATTAACAACCACGGAGGCGCCATGCTTCGCAAATGCTAGACTGTAAGCGCGGCCAATACTGAGCCTTGTTAGCCGAGTCAAGCAGACGTAGGCATGAGGTAACTTACCCAGCACCTCCGCCGGTGACGAGTGCAACGCGGCCAGTGAAGTCCAGCTTTTCTCCCTGATCGTTAGGGCCCATCTTCATGGACTCCTCCAGAAGAGTCAAGAAATCATTGGGACCCGATGGATATTGAGGATTGGAAAAGTCGGTGGCCTGATCCCAGTTTTTAAGAACAGCTCCAGGAGTGTAGCTGTCGTCGGCCTTGAGCAACAACCCGTTGGATCGTTCCCAGCGCAACTTTGCCACATGGCCGCCTCCGACCTCAAAGATGGAGCCGTTCTCGTCCACATTGTCTTTATGTACCAGGACAGCAACAAGGGGAACGACCCAGTCAGGCTTCAGGTTTTCCAAAACATCGGGCGGCATCACAGTCTGGGTCATCCTGCTGGCAGCTGTCACACGACTTAGCGCGCCATCTCGCTTGAAACTCCGCTTATCCCACGTTGCACTTACCGATTGGTGCAATTACATTGGATAAGATATTGTACTTGGCACCCTCCTTGGCCAAGGTTTCGGTGAAGCCAACCATGGCGAGTTTGGCAGCTATGCAGCAGCTTAGCGTCAGATATCATAGATATTGGGCCTTGCAACGAGGCTTACCCGAGTAGTTGGTCTGGCCGAAGCTGCCAAAAAGGCCAGCTGCGGATGCGGTGTTGATGACACGGCCGTACTTTTGCTTTCTGAAATGGGGCCATGCTGCACGGGCACACTTGTAAGAACCCTTCACATGAACCTTCATAATCAAGTCCCAGTCTTCATCCTTTATGTTCTTAAAGCTGATGTCCCTCAAAATACCGGCGTTGTTGATGAGGATGTCGATGCGACCGAAGTTTTGGATAGCCGTCTCGATAATTTTGTCGCCATTCTCGACCGAGTCGTAGTTCGCAACAGCCTTGCCGCCGGCAGCCTTGATCTCGTTCACAACAACGTCGGCAGCCTGTACCCATCGTGATGTTAGCAACTTCCGAGCTCTTAGCGGCATGTGTCGTGATACCATCGTGACCACAAACCTTTGTCGAGTTGCCTTCACCCTTGAACGAGCCGCCTAGATCGTTCACAACGACACTGGCACCGCGGGAGCCGAAGAAGGTGGCATAAGCCTTGCCCAAGCCGCCGCCAGCGCCCGTGACAACAACGACCTGGCCGTCGTAGCGTAGCTGACCAGCCATCCTATCTCTAGAGCCTTGGGGGCACAATGAACGAACAGTCGGTTAGTGATGTACTGGGAAAGGGTTCCGATATAACACAGACGTAGAAGAATGGATGATAGCGAAAGGATGTGCGAGATGGAGAAATTGAGAAGTATAAGGCTGGGATTGGGACACTGCGAGAGGATGGGCGGATGGTTTTCTAACGCAGCACGTCCGGCAACTCTGAAAGAGCCAGCGTGACGGTTGCCGCAGACAGAGCCGAGGCAGCTTCTCTGACCGAAGCCGACAAATGGCGCTAGTCCGTAATAAGACAGAGACTGGATTCACATGCAACTTAGCCGTGGGTTTGGCGGAAGTCTCCATGAGGTCATGTGGAGAAAGATACATCTCCCCGCCCCTCCCCATGTCACATGTCCCCAGATTTTGTAAGTTTGACCAGTGACACGAGAGTACTCCGACGGGGCAACTGCGTAGTGTCCGTACATGCAGCGAACCTAGTATCAGTACCTAGGTATCACCGCAACCACCAGGTAGTAGGGTAGGAAAGACGCCGCACAGGTATGCGGGTAGATATGCAGTAGGTACCGCATGTTGCGACCAAGAGCTGGATGGACCCAGCTACCTACAATTGACAACCGGCCTCCAAGCTCCAGCTGCCGAACAACACCAAGGTAATAGGATATCGACTCGTGCAGCCAGCAACCTAAATTGATTACAAAACCCAACCCCTGGATTCTCGGAAGTATGCTTCGGCACATGCGACGCAGCGACGCAGCGACGATGGACCGGTTGACTGGTTACGCCGCAGAAGACGTACAACACTTCTCTAATGTTTGGGAGAAACTCATCTCAGCAGCATCGTCCACCCTGTGATGCTTGGATATTCACCAACTAACAATCTCCCTCCCCGAGGTTTCGGCACACCTTCGGGACGTCTCAAGGCCTCTACTTGTACCACAAGCCCGAGGCCTACTTGCTGCTGTTGCCGCTAATCTAAACATCATCTTGGGTCAGTCAAAGGAGAAACCTATGACATGATGACCGATTCCATGGACATATTCATTCAGATTGATGCGGAGGATAATGAACGCGAAGACCTTGAGGTTTTTTCTTTTCTTTGATGAACAACCCCCATCATATGCGAGGTATTCTTCGACCCCATCAGAGTCTTCGCAGCAAACCAGGGCATCGAGTTCAGACTCGACGTGGATAAAAACATGACAATGACGACACACATAGCAGCAGTATAATCAAAGTTCTCTCTGATGACGTATTTTTTGGTGGCAAAATTGATTAGAATATAGTATCGCGGCGGATCTTACTGTCGCAGAAAGGTTCGTTTTCTCCCTAACTCCAATCGTGATAATCGTGATTCGTAACTCATAATAATTTTGTCGTAGGAAAATATACCCTCCATGAATCTCATGCTTGTGACCGTGGGAGAGAAAAAGTAGCTCAGAGGCAAGCTGGTGAATCGTTTCAGAATTCCTTATCCGCCAGCATGTCTTCGCCCTTGTGTTTGATTTGGTTCAATTTTTTGGCGATGCTCTCGGCCCGAAGACGAACAGCTTCCTCCCTGGTTGCAATTTCGTTTTCAAACTGTTCGACCATGTTTCGCTTGTTCTGACGGGCAGCTTTCACTTTCTGGGTAATCTGACTGAACTGTTCCAAAAACCAGTCGCCGGAGCGTTCCCAATCGCTGACTGGCATTTGCATAAAAAATTGCTTCTGGTCTGCTTCACGCTGGCCTTGGAAATGGTCAAGCTTTGCAGGTAGACTATCACCAGTGAGGGGACCGATTCCTTTCAGGGATTTCTTCGTTGGGTCATCGTCAAACGCTTGCTCACGCAGCTCAGAGTAGGTCATTCCTGCGAGCTCGTCATCAGCATAGTCGCAGCTGCCCCGGCGCCGCTTTTTTGTGTTGTTTCGCTGAGTGCGACTGGGTGCCGGCAGAGGATTCTCCATGAGAGCCGGCTCTCGAGATAACGCCTTCTTTCGATTGGCTCGAGGAGTGCCATTGTCGTCCTCGCTCAAAGGGTAGTCGCTCGCGAGGCTCCCCTCGACCTCGTCATCCAGTCGAAGACCGGCAGTGTGGCGAGTTGGCTGGGTTTGTCCAAGCTTTTCAACCCTTACGAGGTTATTATTGGAGATCTTGTATGTTGGGGAGTCCGAAAAGACTTCCTGGTCGTCCTCGTAGGCAGCAGGTGCATAAGACCTTCGTACAGTTGCGGGATGCAGTGCGAGTTTCACGGGACGTTGTGGTGAAGACGTATATGGCTCGCTGGAATAGGTATCCTTTGGAGCTGCAGGTTCGACAGAGGCAGGATCATCGCTTTGAGCAAGAGCCAGATCGGGGCCATCGTTCGAGGGTGCAATGCGCATGGCACCGTTCTTGCTGATCGTGTATGGTAGTTTGTCAACAGTCTGCAGCGGTGGGAGATTGCCCATGGCGAAAGTAGGCGGTGGGGAGCGGAGTCGACTGTGAATGTCCATTACGGCGTCATATTTTTCGGACCGTTGAGTCGTAGGCGAGCCGAATTGGCTATCGATTTGTGATTCTGGCCAAAATGCGGACCTATCGCTGCTCTGGGAGCTGGCTCGCTGGTGATGGTGCCTTCGCGGTGAAGCATCAGGAGCGTTCGCGGCAGAATGCACACGCAGGGGCTGCATTGAAGATAATCCCGACTGAGGAGGCTGTCGGAGCATTGTCAGATGTGTGGCATGCGCTCTAGCAGATGCAAATGGTTTTGGGGCGGGAAGCTTCGTGGAGTCGGTGATTGCGTGACTTGAGATTGAATATGCCGGAGGTGTTGCGGAACGCTGTTCCACTTCGTGATTTCTGGCGAGGTTCGCAGCCCCATCGGGAAGAACCGAATCAGGGGAAGGGTTCCTGGCGTACTGGGCCATCCTGTTCGAGCCCAGATTCGGAGGCATGTTGCCAGTGACGTTGCGTCCGTCACTACGCGCCGCCTGGTTATGCTGGGTGTCAAATGTCGAGATCGAATGTCGGGGAAGAATTTTGCGGAAATAGTTGAGACTTGGTCATTGCAGATGACCACGATGGTCAACAAGGCGTGGGTTGAAAAGGACCGAGACACAATGAGGTGCCGGGCTTTCTTTTATCGAGAACCGTAGGCTGACGCAGCATCAACTCATCTCCGGTGAGGAGGAAGGAGGTGTTGGATCCAGCAAGTAGTAGGGTTTAGCTACCGGACGCGTCAAGGTTCGCGTATTAATGGCCAAAGCGCGCTCAGATGCAGGGGAGTACACCACCCCGCCACCCTTTAGTACCTAAGGTGTAAGTGTACCTTTTATGGCGGTATCCGGCTTGCCTCACAGACAAAATTTCAGCAACGTTCTATTACTATGCGGTCAGGTGCAGAAGGCGATCCTCAGATTTGGTGAATTATTTCGATATTTTCCGGTTCCTCAATGGATCTAGTCTAGCAACCATCTTGGCTGGCAGGAAGCTGAGCATGCAGCTCTGCTAACCGCTACGCCACTTGCGCGCCTCACACGAATTGCTCGACTGCTTCTTCCGATCTATCCTCTTGTTCTCTATGGCGAAGCAATAATTTCGCTTCTTCCTGGGCAAATATCGTCACCTGCACGACCGCGCGTCCCGCTTACCAGTCATGTTTACTGTCTCTTGGTCTCAGTACTTTCCGCTCGCCAAATCTGCAGCAGCTTCATTGCCAGCCGGATCGGCCGCAGCTCGACTCCAAACGCCGTAGCTCGCAGACGCATTATGAACAAAGTCTGACGGCAGGCAACGAAAACTGGTGTCGTTAGTTTGCCGATGCCCTTCACGCCTGTCCGTTGCAATCACAGGACCCATCCTTCCGGCCAACCTCTCACTCAGACTTTTGTTCTGGTGCTGCCAATGTTTTTGTGGCCGCCATCACCTGGTGTTTAGCCCGAAAAGTGGAAACGCGCCGCCTCAAGTTGGCCGAGACCCTCTCGGGGAGCTACATATCGCCGGCGGTAGGTGTTGGTGAAATCTTGCAGAAGCGCTCTCACTTGTCTGATTGCGCTAGGGTCATCACCGCCCAGGCGCTCCTTGATTTTAGTCATCAGTCGGTTTGCTTCGACTGGCGTGATTGTGCCCTGTGGCAGGAGATGGATGGTGCGCTCAACCCAAGTGGTCGTCTCGGCCGGGAATAGCTGGAACATTGCCAGAAGAACGCCGCTGCCATCTGCGAAGCAATCTCGGGGGAAGGTGATCATCATTCCTGCCATGACTTGCTTGACCAGTTTCTCACCGTGTGTGCTGAGCAACTTACTGACGACCTCGCGAATATGAGCAGCAACATCTGGAGGGAGAACATCTGATGTTGCCGGGTTGTCGCCGCCGTATGTAAGGAGGTCGCGAAGGAAATGAAGCGTAGCCGAGAGAGGATCGCGTTGTTCCAATGTCAAAGCAAAGACGGCTGCTTCAAAGATCGGACCCAGGAGCTCCGAGGGTATCAGTCGTTGCGGGTAGTAAAGTAGTGCGTCAATCAGCAGTCGGAAAAAGTCCTCAATGACATCTGGCACCTCGCCCGGCTGAAGCTCGCTCATGACGCGCAGGAATGTCGTTGTCTGCGCCTCGAAGAAGGCGTATATGCTTTGCGTGATTTCCTGGTCCACGTGCTCCCGATCCTCCGAGAACTCTCGAAGTATAGCTGCCGTAACCCAGAGAAAGGCGCCTTGGCGAGAGGCTGAGAAGCCACTGGCCAGCTTGTTCGCCATCTCTGGCAAGAGCGGCGTCATAGCCGTTCTGTAAGAGATGATCATATTGCGCCAGCACCGGCAAATTCTTTCACAAATGGGAACGAATCCCAGAAAATTGTCCAAGATCGTGGCAAGCACAGGAAAAACCTCTTGCCAGTACTTGACAGCGGGGTTCTCTTCCCCAGGTCCGACATATGGCACTACAACCTGCACAAATGTAGTGACGAGTTGAAGATGGTCTGATATCATGTCAGCGGCGTGTTCATCGATAAGTCTCAATTGCCAACCCACCAGCGAGTGCCAATTTGCCCTTGTCGTCAGTGGCGAGATTGGCTTTGTTCATCAAACGTTGAACCAGTGGATCGCAGTAGAGCTTAAGAAGTTTGTAAATCTCAGCAGGCGGCTGGACGGCAACAACACTGGCCACTCCCTCTGTGATTTCCTCCTGACTCATATCGGGAAGTTTGTCGAGTATTTGATCGTAAAATGTTTGCATCTGGAGTACTTGCCCGCTGAGGAGCTGCTTGCAGTCAGTGCAGAAATATTTGATGGCCATAGCTGCCGCCCTTACAACCTCTTTTGAGTCTGTCTGGAACGAGGTTACGATGTAATTGAATTGCGGCTCGAGATATTCGGGGTGGGCCGCCGTCCATTCCGTATATCGTCCGAGGACCATGATAGTGGCAAACCGGAGCTTCTCATGGCTAGGGATCTGGACGAGTAACGGCATCAACTGCGGAAGAACAATGTTCTCGTCCTTTTCGACCATCTGTCCCATTGCCCGCATCGCAAATAGCGGAGCCTCTAGCTCTTGCCAATGTGGAACGGAAGTTGCTGTGGCTTGACCGGCGTACTTATGCATCCAAAGCTTGATAGCCTCAAGAACCTTAGTAAGGCAGTCTGTCACGCCCATTACTTCGCACGAGTCCTTGAGAGTGTCGCCCATTTGATGTCGGAATTCGCGAAATCTTTCCTCCTGCTCCCGATCACCATCAAACAAGTCAGTTTCGTCTGTCGATTCTGACTGGGGGTATTCCAAGTGCTTCAGAAGTATATCCACGAGTTTGGAATAAACGTCGACAAGCTCCAATCTTGCCTGAATGTAACGTTCCAGTGTCAGGTACTGCTTGAGCTCATACCAGAACTGGAAGGTGTGCTCAATCACATCTCTGTCCTTGTCTCTGGCCGCACATTCCAAGACTGAATCGACAAGAGGCCGGAAGTGTCCCGGCTCGCGGGCAATAGCTACAACCCATGCCTCTGCAGCCAGAGCGAAGATCTTGGTCAGGGACTTGTATACTTCCGTATCTTCCTCGTTGACAACAGCCTCGATCCTGGGACGGAGAGCAATAACGCGAGGCAGGAGAGCTTGTATCGTGTCGAGATTGTCGTCGACGTCTCTCGTCTCCCGGAAAATTGTGCAGAGACATTCTGCGGCCTCCTGCGAAGCCTGATCGTTGCCCACAGCGTTGAAGATAACGTCGAGAAGAGGGGACTTGACAACATTGCTGACGGGAACCTCACGGAGCCAAGATGTAATACACTCCATTAACTGGGGGTTTTGAGCAGCAGAGGCTGCATGAATGACTCATCAGCGTGGGTTCTAAAATGTATATCGTGTATACGGGTTTAGGACGTACCAGATGATTGGGAGTAGTTAATAAGCAGTTGCACGACCTGGTCCGTATTGTCACCCAGCAATTCCCTGGTCCGCTGGGAAAGCTCTTCTTCCTGTCATTGCCAATTAGACTCTGATCCCTGTTGATATAGGCCCAGCAAAACCACGCCGCTGGAAGTAGAAGGCCGGTCGGTATTTCCGTGATCCACGTACAGTTAAGGTGATTTTGCGGCCTTCGGTCACCTCCTCGGGTAGCACGCGCAGAAAGTCGAGAATGGCGGCGTGGCTCTCAACGCTGTCCCCGAGAGATGATACTACCGTGGGAAGAACATCCTTCCAGTCCTTCATCTGCACTGCCAGTGTCGCCAGACACACGCAGAGCTGAACTCGTATGGGTTTGGGGCCGGGCGCAAAGTGCTTCAGAAGGAGCAGGATTTGGTCTCGCAGCGCAGGTAGCTCTGTTTCCGATACTTGCGTCGTCAAGTCGTAAGTAATCTGTACAGACTCATGATCAGCTCACCATTTCAAGAAAGACCACTTGAATGTTCTACCTTTCCGCGCAAAGTAATAGCCGCAAAGAGCTTGGCCTCGGGCTCTGCGTCGGACTGAAGGATGCCAATGATGGTGCCCCATGCATCTTTCTATAACCATTGTTAGCAGAGAAGTAAGCCGGTGACAGCTGCATCGGAATTGTGGTAGTCTGACAGATTTCTGGAAACGTTCCAGGTAGGCGTGCGCCTTCTTCTTTGTCTCTTGCTCGCCGCCGCGCATGGTCACCATTGCCGACAAGACGTCGTTGGGCGCGAAGGCCTCTTGAATCCCGTTGGTGGCCATACTTCAGACGTCTAGCAATGTCGCAAGTGTCAATCGGCTGTTTGATGAGGCGGGGAGCGGGTATGTGGTCGAGAGAATGTGGCAGCAAAACCGCATATGACGTCGTGCGGAAGGACCGCAGGTGCCGCAGAAGGGGTAAGCGATGAGAGATTAAGTTGCAACTCAGCTCTCGTTTCTTTTGAGGCGAAAGGAGCGTTGGGCCAGTGAGGTGGCAATTGGGAGGCTATCAAAGCAATGCGGCGACGTCCAAAATGGGCGGATGGAGGGGGTGGAGGAAGGTCGCGAAAGGAAAATAAAACGTCAGTCAGGCTGGCGGGACAGCAGGCGGGTCCAGAGACAACCTAAGGTAGGTAGGTACCTAAGACCTTAGGAATCCGACCTGACTAGGTGTCTAAAGCCGGCTACCTACCCTATGCCTACCGCGCCTTACCTTAGGTAAGGTAGGTACTCCGTAACCTAGCACCTACCTACCTACCTACTTAGATATGGATGTAAATCCACTAGTAAAATACAAGTATGGTTTACCTGCATACAGTCCATCAGTGTAACGCATATAAGATCGCTGAGGCACACCTAAAGGTTTGGTAGTGAGCGCCTCACATAATGTACCTATCCGTAGCTGCGCCGACAGCATGTCCTCTCGTACCTTACCTTGGATGCCTAGCATTTCATTCCCTGGAGCTTTCAGTGTAGGCAGGTGCTTACTTACTGGAGATTCTCGAGTTGTTTGCCACGAGCAATCGCCGCGGCACTATTGGAGTCGTTAGAAATATCTTTGGAGTTGTCTGTAGCACCTTTCAGTGCCCAGTCAGGTGCTGTGAGGCGCCGCCGGCTTAGGCAACCAAACCCGGATGAGCAGAGTGGCCGGGGACGGGAAGGGACCTGATCCATCCCGCGGATGAATTGCACTCGGCTGGCAGGTCCCGTACGGGTCCATCCATGGATCCAATGGATGCGTCCAGAGTGCCCGGGCACCTCAGTACCTTAGACCGGATGGAACATCATTTTGCCAGCCCCACCTAAATTCTAGCAAACCGCGGGAACCACCCATACCTGTAACTGACTGAGCCAGGCCGAGAGTCGCGCACCCTCATCGCGCCCCAGCTGCGAAGAAGGTGCTCGCCGACAACTTGCTCCGCCACAACACACTCGACGAAGCCGAACGCGAGCGACAGACAGCATTTGCCGCTGTTCCATATCGTGAAATATCCGAACTCATAAGCGTTGCTCGACCTTTCTCCCACACACCTAAATATGTCAGGACGCGGCGGCGGCGGCGGTCGCAGAGTACTGCTTCCTCCCATCAACTTCATCTTCAGACTCCTTCAGTATGTCGCTGCACAAGTCAGGCCCTATGCGTACCGAGAGGCTGAAATTTTTACAGGCAGCACACGACCGTTCAGATTTGGCTGTACGAGCAGCTTTCGATTCGAATCGAAGGCAAGATCAGGGTGCGGCGAGTCGTTGAGATTCTATCAAGAAGCGCTGTACTGACTTGGATCACAGGGCTTTGACGAGTTCATGAACCTTGTCATTGATGATGCAGTCGAGGTCAAGCAGGTCACAAAGACGAACCCGGAGGAATCACGGCGGCCATTGGGTGAGTGCCGAAGCTGGTGTCAGGCATCCTGTTAAGCTAACAACATTGGACAGGTCAAATATTGCTGAAGGGTGACAATGTCTCGCTGATTCAGAGTGTCTCGGAATAGAGAGCGATCATGTCGAAGGAACCACATTGCGATGACGGGCCTTGCACACGGATGATAAGAAGGAAAAAAAAAGTTTGATACCACGAATTTATCAACATGATGCGGCGGACTGTCAGCGGTTTTTGAAGCTTTCCGCCGGCCTCCTAACCTCCCCGCTGCCGAGGACCACGCCATCGAGCGGCTGGTCGTGTTGTGCGACGGGAACTGTGCTATCTGACGGCTGGGAGAGAAATTGCTCCGATAGAGCCAGGCCAAAGAGCATCAGAGGCTTTGTCGCTACTGACGAAATGTTGTTGTACTTTGCAGCGTAACGTCGAATAAAGAGGTCATAAAATCCCTTGCCATGGCCTAGTCTTCGCAGCGAACCTGACTGGGGGTCAATGTCAAAAGCAACTCCTGGGAGCAGCATAAGGTCCAAGAAAGAGGATTCTGGGGATTCGGCTCCATGCTCACCCAGGACGCGTTGTCTCTGGTCGATGGTGGCCGGGTCAATGCTGGGAATGCCCCATTTGTCCGGCTGCAGCGACTCGTAGTCTTGAAGATCGCGCAAACGGACCATGTCCATGACCCTGGGCGGCGTCTCCTCGGAAGGAAAAGGTGATTTGTGAAGATACGGGACGTAAACTTGCTTTCCGGATGACAAGGCATGGCGCACAATGCCGTCCGTCTGTATCTCGCCGGACGACATGGAGAGGAAAACACTGACCCTCTGTGCCTCCACATAAGGTTTAAATGTCTTCAGAGTTTCGCAGACAGTCCGGCCTTTTGGTGAAGCTGAGCACGTGCGTTCCAAAAGAGGTGAGCAGCTTACTTTGTATGTTGATAGACTCATGAGCTACGCCAGCTAGCCTGTCCCTCATGACAGACCGCAACTGCTTCTTGGCAGCCACTAGCGCGGAGCCCATTGTGATTTGCTACTGTTCCCTCGACTGTCTAGGGAGCGGATGTATGGAAAGAAGTTCTCTGGGTCTTCTGGCATCGGCTTGGTTCCAACTGTGAACGTTATGCGTTAGTTAAAGATGAACGAAGCATGCCGTCGAGAGGGCTTCAAGTGGGGTCTAATTTGAGCGTCTTACTGACGTTCCGTGCGTTCTTAGGATACCTATTATCGATGATTCACATGCGGGCAAGCGGGGCGTTGTCAGTCGGTGACTTGCACCACAGCGATGTTCTGGGGAGATATGTAATAATTGCAGCATGCAAGTAGAAGGCACAGCGCTGAAAAGCATTGTATGCAGCAGTGTCTGCAACGATAATCCGCATTCACAAGCATTACCTACGTGAAAAAGAGACAAACAGTATCTGGCGTAGATTCATAAAAAAAAAACACATGCTAAGGTGTGTGATAGTGGCTGTGTCGGCCACTGAAAAGGCCATGCGACAACCTCGTCGGGCGAAGCAGTAAGTTCTCCATGGCTGATGTATTGGTGGTGGCTCTCAGCAAGCCATGCTCTGAAAGGATTTGTCAACCAAACCACGCCAAGTCTATTGGATTCCGGAACCGCACGTACGGATACTTTGGTGCACGTTAATGCGCCAAGAGGCTTGTTGTTTGGCTGGACGTGAAGAAGCCGACACAGGACAGCTCAGTCACATATGGATTGCGAGGCTAAGACGCGGGGGAAAGCGTTGGGGCAGGCGAGGAGGGCCGGCCTGAAGCATCACTGGCAACGCGCCAACCCAATTGCCAAGGCGTGGCATTCCGCTACCTTGCTTTGCGACTATTCCGACGGCCTCAATAGGCTTGGATCTGTTGTTGGTGACGGTATCCCACGACGAATTCTGGCCTTAATTTCCCCGGGCTGCAGGACTTGAGAGGGACAGGGCGGGCGCATTTCCTCTCCCGACGCGAAGACAAGCAACTCCGTGGTGGAGGGAGGGGGTACAATTTGTTTCTTGTGTTATGGTGAACCAAAGACGACATGGGAAAACCCAAGAGCTCCAGCCCTTGAGAAGGATGTACTACATCGTCTATCCGCCGAAATCCGTTCACTAACGCTGCCAGGCGTAACTCGATCCATGCGCAGATTTGACAGGAATGTGGATTCATCCAGTGTCTTGCAGTACCCTACCTTGCCTACTCTACTTGGTACCTTTTTGGCCAGCGAGTTACGACGCCATTCCAGGTTCATGTCGTAGTATTGTTCAGATAAGGCGTACGCCCACGAAACAAGGGGACCGTCCGGTCTACTATGCAATATACTACCCCGCAAAGGCGCGTCGCTGCGCTGCAGTGCATCATCTGTGTCGCCGCTGTGCCTGTATCCGTACGTAGCTGCGTGAGGGAGGGAAGCTTCGCGACTGAAGGCTCCTGGTACTTCGTGAAATATATAGATCCTTCCCTTAACTCTCTGGTTCATACTTTCAAAGCACCCAAGCAAATGCGTACGCGATAGCGTTTGTTTGTGGTGTAGGCTCATTACTCGAAGGCACCTACTGTGGCGCGACGAGTGTTTCCATTCCGAGGTACCTGCCTCATCTTATCCATGGATGGATGTAGGCAGGTAGTCGATACTGCGGTGGGCAGGCAGGTACATGTGAGGTTCCTACTGTAAGGTAGCCAGCAGCTGCAGTGATCCATTGGAAAGCACAGCGGTCGCGGGACGCTTCATAGGTAGGCAGGTACCTAGGTATCTAAAGTACAGTCCAGCAGGAGGTAGAGTACAAACTCGACCTGACTTTCACGCTATGCCTAGCTAGACCTGGAGCTTGAGCCACACCTTTGTGGAGATCCACTCGCCCTTTCAAAGCAAGTTGGAAGAGCCCAGAAACCCCCCCAGAAGCTCCCACGAGCGTGTCGGGCGTCTCTTAACGGCACCTTTTGCCTTCCCTTCCCATTGCCTGTGCCTTCTCGCCATCCGTCCAACAAATACCCCGACCACCCCCTTCCTTAGCTGCTTTCCTACGTAGGCCTCTCCAACGCCAAACTCCACAATCTGAACATCTTCAGCTTCTACCAAGCGCTCACGGCGTCCTCCCCCAAGAAACCTACTGTCGCCCACCTCGACCCGTCGCTTCCGTCCGCGCCGTCCACGTCTTGTTGTCAAGCTCCCGAAGGCAGCGACTGCGCACAGCCATAATACTTATCCAGGTAACTAGACGCTCACTTTAGCAATGGCTTCGCCGCCAAAGTCCAAGTACGACATCCTGCCCAGGATGCAGGTCAAGGGCCCATTCTCCGTCACCTCGCCTGGTGCAATTCCGAAAGAGGGGGAGACGTTACCTCGTCGCCTACCCCAGGCTGTTCCCGACCTGATCACCCTTCCCGGAGGCAACATCACCACCACATACGAGCTAGTCAAGTCAAGCGCCGAGAAGTACGGGAACGCAAAGTGCCTGGGTTCCCGCAAGCTCATCACCACCCACCGCGAGTCAAAGAAGATCAAGAAAATGGTGGATGGTGAGGAGCAAGAGGTCAGCAAAGACTGGACCTACTTCGAGCTGAGCCCTTACGAGTACATCACCTACCACGAGTACGAAACACTCACCCTCCAGCTCGGCTCTGGCCTGCGCAAGTTAGGCATGACCAAGGGCGATCGCGTCCACATCTACGCTGCCACCAGTGCGCATTGGCTAGCCATGTCCCATGCCGCCGCTTCTCAGTCCATGCCTGTCGTGACTGCCTATGACACTCTAGGCGAGCAAGGTCTGAGATACTCAATGGTTGCTACCGCCGCCAAAGCCATCTTCCTTGACCCTCATCTTCTCCCTACACTCGTGAATGTCCTCAACGATGCCAAGGACATCCGCTACGTTATCTGGAACAACCAGAATCAGGCTCAGCAGGCACACGTCGACCAGCTCAAGTCTGCACACCCTCAAATCACTATCCTTAGCTTCGATGACCTGAAGCAGCTTGGCCAAGACAACACAATCGATCCTGTTCCTCCTACTGCTGAGGACTTGTGCTGTATTATGTATACTTCGGGCTCGACTGGCACTCCAAAGGGTGTCCCCCTGAAGCATAAGGCTGTCGTTGCCGCCGGTATGTTCCCAATCTAGATCTTGAGATCATCTTGATGGCTGAAATTCGTTCCAGTTGCCGGTGTCAGTGTCGTCGTGCAGCCACACATTGGACCTGGCGATGGTCTTCTGACGTACCTCCCACTCGCCCATATCCTTGAATTTGTTTTCGAGAATGCCTGTCTCTACTGGGGGTCGACCATGGGCTACGGCAACCCCAAGACATTGTCCGATACTTCGGTCCGAAACTGTGCCGGCGATATCAGAGAGTTCAAGCCCTCCGTCATGGTCGGCGTCCCTGCAGTCTGGGAGACGGTCAAGAAGGGCATCATCGCAAAGGTCAATGCTAGCGGCGCGGTTGTCAAGACGCTCTTCTGGAATGCCTTGGCTACGAAGACGAGCCTAATGAATGCGGGCCTCCCGGGATCTAGCCTCGTTGATACTGTGTTCTTGAAGAAGTTGAAAGAAGCGACTGGTGGACGCCTCAAGCTTTGCATGAACGGAGGTGGACCCATTGCCAAAGAAACTCAGCATTTCATTTCCATGGCCATTGCGCCTATGATCATAGGATACGGTCTTACCGAGACTACTGCCATGGGCTGTCTCATGAACCCATTGGAGTGGAACGTCAACAATATGGGAGCCATGCCTGCGTCAATTGAGGTCAAGCTGGTTGACTTCGCGGAGGCTGGCTACTTCGCTCACAATAAGCCGAACCCTCAGGGCGAGGTGTGGATCCGCGGCCCGTCGGTCATGGAAGAGTACTGGGACAACCCTAAGGAGACCAAAGAGGCTATCACGGAAGATGGCTGGTTCAAGACAGGCGACATCGGTGAGTTTGACGGCAACGGCCACCTCAGGCTCATCGACCGAAAGAAGAACTTGGTCAAGACTTTGAACGGCGAGTACATTGCCCTTGAGAAGCTGGAATCCATTTATCGTGCGTCCGCACTTGTGGCCAACATTTGTGTGTATGCCGATGCCCAGAAGGCGAAGCCTATTGCGATTATTGTTCCTGCCGAGCCTGCTTTGATGAAGCTGGCAGAGAGCATCGGGATCAAGGGCACCTCTTTGGAAGGACTCGTACATGACCGGAAACTGCAGAGCGCCGTTCTCAAGGAGTTACAGAGCGCCGGCCGACAGGGTGGTCTTTCTGGCATCGAGATCATTGAGGGAGTTGTCTTGTCCGACGAGGAATGGACACCCCAGAACGTGAGTTTATATAAATGACCCGGGTTGTCTCTAAACCTTCTTGGATGGCTAACATCTCTCGCAGGACTTGGTTACAGCAGCCCAAAAACTGCAGCGCAAGAAGATTTTGGATAAGTACAAGACTGAGGTGGTCAAGGCGTACGGCTCATCCAACTAGTCAAACACCTATATGCTTGTTTTCAGGTTGAGTTCACGTTCTCTAGGACTTGTTATTTGTCAAGGTCTCTGGTTTTTTTCGCTTTTTTTTTCTTCCACAGGTTGGGTTGGACTTCGAAACGCTTGATATCCAGGAGTACAGTGTACACGATTCGACTTTGTAACACATAATAACGATCGAGGCCCCTGTTTTCAATCAAAACCAGTTAATGCAATTCGTATTTCACAGTCACAGGTAGGGCTAAGGCTCTTGCAGAACTAAAACGGAGCGAGTGCTGGAATTCCGTGGTTTTCGCACGCAAGCTGCTGCTGCCCGGGATGGCCTGGGTTGTTTTCAAGGCTGTCTTGCCGACTCGGGACTGCCGGGCAGACAGTAATTATGTTGAGGACAGCCGGTTCTGGCCACCATCTGTTCTGGGTTTCCGACGGACCCAGCGGCCCTGGGTCCAGCAATCAGGTGGAGCGTGTTGGTCAAGATGATATTGTGAGACACAACACGGTAAAATCACTGGAATCCCATTCCTGCCTGGCCTCGGGTAGGAAAAAAATAATAATAATCGCACTTTGTCTCGCACAGCTCGCCTAGCCCGCAAAACACCACAATACCTTCCAATTCATGGCGAAAGCTCCACTTACACCAGGCCATCGTACAGAGACAGGGCGGATACGATGGTCTCATCACGTTTGCTACCCTCCTTGAATTCTTCCATGTCGAGACTGCCGTTCTCGTCCTTGTCCATCATGCGAAAAATCTTCCGTACCCGCTTCTCGGGGGTGTCTTCGTCCTCAGGAAGCTTAACCATGGAGCCAACCTAGTTCCGAGATTGTCAGCGGGCAACATGGGACAGACCGAGCAGTTTTCCTGAGAGGAGGGTACGGGATGAGAATGGGACCAGCACCATCGCAAACTGACCATCTTGTAAATCGCCTCGACGATCTTGAGCATTTCGTCGTAGCTAATCTTCCCGTCGCCATCGATATCATACAGCTGGAAAGCCCAGTCGAGTTTGTCCTCCATTTTTCCGCGGCTCGTAACGCTTAGAGCGCATATGAACTCCTTGAAGTCGATGCTTCCTGACTTGTCGCTGTCGAAGACGTTGAAAACGTAGTCTGCAAATGAACTTGGATCGCCAAACGGGAAGAACTGTCTGTAAATCTTCTGAAACTCCTCCTTAGTGAGCATGCCCGATGGACAGTCCTTGAGAAAGCCTGGGTTGCTGGTCAGAACCGTTTGTTCCCGGAAAGTTCGCGATGCGCCCCGAGGAAACAGGGGAGGAAACGAGGAGATGTTTTCCGGGCAATTCGTGATTCGTTTTGCGCGCGATGAATTTTGGGGACTGTGACCAACGTACCCTTGTACCATTGTTGCAACTCCTTCTTGTCGAAATGGGTCGACTTCTGCAGTTCAGCAAGCTGCTCTTGGGAAAGCTTGGACTGGCTGTACAACGGCTTGTCAGCCCATGTCTCGGATGATCTCAATCGACGCAGGTGCTGGAGTCCTCGCTATAAGGTCCGCAGGGTGGGATTCCGTGCCGATGATGGTGACAGAACAGGGAAGGACGGAGGACAACGGCACTGTCCGGTGGGTGGCGATCGACTCACGATTTGCCCATGGCTATTTGAAAGCCTTAGCAGCCGAGAACAAGGCGCAGCGAGAGATGTCCTAGAGATGCAGGAGGGGAGTCAAGGATCGTGCGAGCGGGCGGTGCGCGATAGGCTTCAGTCGGCAGTGAGTCTGTCGCAAAGAGGGATCGTGTGTGAGAATGATTAGCGTCGGCGGTTGCGGAGGTGGTGGCCGGCTCGGCGTCAGGTTGTCGGCGCGACAAAGTAGGTGAGAACAGGGTGTCCAGGATAAGCGCAAGGAGGCTCTTCCGTTTGTTGGCTAAGGCAAGTGACGAGGACGGCGCGTAGACGAAGACGAGGAGGACGGCGAGGCTGGATATAGGCAAACAAGGTGATGGTGGTAGTTGTCACAAGCGGGGGAGGGGAAAGAAATAAAGCCCCAGGATGCTTGGGGGGGACGGGACACTGGAGGCGACCAACCCAGCCAGGCGGGGGACCAGACCCGACGACCTGACGGGAACTGAGGGTTGAGGCCGGGAACTCTAGGTACCTAAGGTAGGTAGGTAAGGTAAGCTGAGGTGGCGGCGATAGGAGGGGCGGGTACCCTGTAACGAGGAAGCTGTAGCAGAGTAGATGCTGTGCCCGGCCTGCTGGGCAGGCAGTCAGCGAGGCGAGAATGAGGTGGAGATACCTCTCATGAAGTGGCTTTCAACGCTGTGGGGGAAGTAGCTATCCACCTATCCCAGGTGAGCTTGCCTGCTACCTACCTCATCTTAAGTGCCTAGGTACTAAGGTAGGTAAGTAGGTACGTGAGGCATGCATGATTTGAGGCTACCCGCCTCCCCCCCCCCCTTTTTTTTTTTTCGTTCTTTCATACGCGCTGCAGTCGCCGCAGCAAAAGAGCGAGCTGGTCACTGTGGCCGGTGTCATCCGTCCAATATGGTGGAGGCAGCCCGACAGCTTCGATGACACTGCGCGGCTCGTCAACTATTGTTGAACTGCTAGGACGGTGACGGTGACGGTGACGGTGACGGGACTGCATGCGTGTGCCACCAGCCACACTACGCTTGGATATCTGCTCAGCGGCATGTACTGGAGCCTCGAGGGGTTATCTTTTCTACGACGGCGAAAGTACTAGGCACGCTACTTTATTAGAGCAGAAGGCGAAGAAAAAAGAGCTGTCAGAACCCTCCAATGACGTTACCTCGGGCTTCCAAATGCTGAACGGGGCCCGCTCCTTCCACCAAAATGCGACTTGTCCCACTCGACGTCCAAGTTGCCAAGCGGCCTCCGACAACACAGCCCGCCAGTTGGGTGCGCAGGAACGTGGTACCTAGTCTGCCAATGGTAGGAGACAGGACGTCAGCTTGGCTCCTTCCCAATGAACAGTGACCTGAACAGTCTGCCCCAGTCTACATACGTCTTCATGCAAAAGGCAGTTCCTTAGGCATCCCCTGATCATCGCACGAAGAAAACCGCCACCAGCTTCTGTGTGTGGGGATGAAGAACCACCGGAACAGTATCACGACGAACCACGGCAGCGCTGGCCACCACGCATATATTCCGTCCTCGAACGACTTGTCTCGGTTTGTGAGAAGAAGCGGGATCGTTGTTGTCTGCAATTAAGCCATCATGTCAGCCATCCAGTCGCGCGTCTGTGCCGAGGGAGAGGGGAACAAGACCGTAATTGGTACATACCTTAAGCGCCGGGTCGTTGCTCTTGCTAAGCAGCTCTTTCATGAGTCTCTCAAACCACTCGTCCCATTCGACATCATATTCTCCGAGCTTCAGCAACGTGTCAATCTCGTCACTCAAGTGCTGCCGAAGGCCTGGCATGAACGAGTCAATGATGCCCTTGAGCTTCACTCCGCTGTACGCCTCCTCGCCCTCCCCTTCCCCCTTTTGCACTTTCTCCAAATAGCTCAGGTACTCATGCAATCCGCCAGTGAAGGCCTCATGTTGGGCGATGTTGGCTTCCATGAGCCCCGGTGCTTCTGCCATCTTCTCGATTGCCGGGAACACATCCCTCTCCTCAGTGTGATGGTGTTCCTCCACCATCTTTGCCCACTCTATGGCGTACGAAACAAAGTCCCGGACGTCGCTCGGCGACTTCTCTACGTTGATGCACTGCAGGTAGACCGTGTTGATGATGCGGATGATCATGTTGTGGATGATGATCATGTCTTCGGCCATGCGCCTAGCTCCGGTGGTCTTCACGCCTTTCTAACCGGGCACAGAATGTTAACCCAAGTTCGACGATTGCCAAGCGCTCACCACAGCAAAGAGTCTCTGTAGACATACCTGAGATCCTACACGAGCACTTCTGATGAGGATAAAGGGCCCGTCGGCCCATGGCTTTTGGCCAGTCATGCTGATCGGATAGTATAATCAAAACTCGACTCTTTTCGCAAATGTTGGTGGTAGAAATGCTGTCAGCTATCGAGGAGATGGCAAGATGACCTACGTATGCTCATACATCTGAACAAAGACTGCAAGCGAACAGGAGCTGCCTGGGCCATATTTTAACTGTTCCTCGAGACTGGGACTGTCAAGCCTAGTTTCCTTTCCATGAGCGGCTGACGAGACAGGATTTTGAGTGCTGACGATAGCACCGAACGCGGCAAGACGAGCCGGGTTGATGGCCCGTCTGAGATGCTGTCACGCCTTGGCCCTTTTTTACCCAACGCCTGTCAACCTATCGTTGTCTTTGGATTGTCAGGATTTGCCCTTTGATTGGGCTTACTGTTTTAATTACCCCCGGTTTGCCACAGAAAATCCAAAGTCCCAAACGCTGGCAGGTTGCCCTTAGGAGCATCTGCTTCTTCGAGTAAGACCTCGATTGCGGATCTGGGGCGGGAGCTTTTCAGACACAAGCCGACGGAGGAGACTACAGGTCACTAAGAATCCTCATCACAGGATAGGTAGCGATGATTGGAAGGTGCATTATCTGACGGGCCACCAATACGCCATGAACCCAACACTTGAGACTGGTCATGCCGCAAGAGTTGACAAAAAATTTGATAATTACGAAAGCAGAATGAATGATCCATGCCCGTGTCTCGTGAAGCTTGTTTCTCCCAGGCCGGTTCCTTCATCGTCAAAATCAACGAAAAACGCCTTAGTCCACCAGTAAAAAAACCACCCAAGCCACCACCGCGTCTCTCAGTTGAGCTCACCTGGCCCGCCTCATTGTGCGCTGGTATTTTCTTTAACCAACTACGGCTTTCATGCTTAGACTTTCCAAGAACGCCCCTAGATCCTCCTTCTTGACCTCCACCACGCAATGCTCAAAGCTGTCAATTCGAACCCGAGCGTTGGTCTCCGCGACAACTTCCTGAAACGCGGAGCCGAATCGGTTCAAGCCGTATCCCCTGTCTCTAGCGGGCCCGTCCTCGTCCTCGGCCTCGTCCGAATCGGACCCGTCTGATGCCTCTGATTCGGTATCGAGCTCATCATCGTCCTCATCATCCTGCCCTGCCGCTCGGCGAGCAGCTTTTTTTTCTTCGCGAATCTTTTCCTGGTTTCGCCGAGACTCCTCCTTTCGTTTGGCCCTTTCGTCCTTGGCTGCCTTTCGTTTCTTTGCCGCCTCACGGTCGAGAAAAGTCGAGTCCGGCCCACCGCCGCCGCCTGTTCCGACAACGAGGTACACGCCGCGTTTGTCGTTCAGACTAGCGACAACTAGGGGAGTACCGCGGCCGCCATGAGAGAGGCGACCTGTAGCATCCTTCTCCTGCTCCACAAGAGCCTCACCGATCCAGAGGGCTAGCTTGGTAAGGGCAGCTGGATGACCAAAAACGGGAACGTCAGGACCCTCCTTGACCACACACATGCGGAACGCCCGCAGATGCTTGATTTGTTTCTTATTTATGAGCGAAGTGCCAGTGCGATAAATGGCGCGGTGTAGAAATTGGGCAGTCGGCAACCCCGACTTGAGATCATCGATGCTGGCGCGAGATCGTTAGCAGCAAGATGCGCGATGAAATCCAATGGGGTACATACTTTTCGAGGGCATCATACGCTTCCCAGAACCGGCTAAGCCACTCTTCGCTCTGTGCGTTGACAATATCTTCGTCATTGCCTTCCTCGATTTGGGAATCTTTGATTGGATGAGCCAGCTCCGTGCCATCTGCATGTTTGCCGACTTCTAGCAGAGCGCCGATGACAACACCAACATCCTGTGCGCTCAGTGTAGCTCGCCAACCCCAACTTCGAACGAAACCCCAGCCATCCTTGGCGCCAGCGCGGTCTCTGCCATCGGTGTCTACCGCAGGGACCATGTCATCCAAGTTGTAGAGAGAAGCGTATTTTAGGAGCTTGGCTCGAAGCTCACGTTTGAGCATCATATCCATGTGGGTGTAGCTCTGTTTGCATTGAACAAGGCTCACGCCCATCTTGGCCAACAGCTTGTGCAGCCGCTTTAAGCCAGTCTCACTCCACGTCTTTAGACGGGCAAATAGGTAGGGCGAATGGAGCATGCTGTCGTAAAGACTCCAATGTCTAATGAGAAGGAATTTGGGTTCTGGAGATAGCCTGATGCTCGTGTCCTCCGGGCTCCGGGCAGTAGTCGGAATGATACCGGAGTTTTCGGCCGACGTACGGGAGCTATTGACATCCGGAGGATTCAAACGGCGAACCTCATCTCTGAGAAGTTGGCGGATGCGAGCGCCACGAACTCCCATCCAGCCGTTACCCTGCCCACGGTCTGAGTTGCGGACTGGGACCGCAATGCCTGCAGACGACCTGCCATAGAGCTCCATGGAGGTGACACCAACAATTGTTAGCCAAAGGAGATCATTGTCTTCACGACCAAGCTCTGACGCCAACGAATACATCATTGAAGATATGGGTTCCGAAAACGAGGCGCCAATTTTGTAGTACTTTCGCAGGACCCCCTCTTTCTCTCTGCGCAAGCGCAGCAGGCGACGTCGCAAGGACCTCGCTGAAGGTGCAGGGGGTGGTTGAGCAGCAGATGGGGGCTCCAGAGGGTCGCTAGACAGAACCATGCCAGCGTCACGGAGAGACACTAGTCCTCTGTGAGCTGGTCGCTGGGGCGATGAGGGTATGGACGAGGACTATTCGGTCTACGGTCAGTAGCTGCCCTGTGATGAAGAGCAATCAGGAATGGGTTTAACTCACAGAATTGCTTCTTCTGCGCTGCCGTGGCCTTTCGTCTGTGTCGCTGGAATCTTCGTCCGGATCTGACCAACTTTTTCTTTTCTGGCCAGCATGAACAGAACCTTCAAAGAGATCCTCGTCATCGTCGTCTTCTTCTCCAAGATCTTCTCCGTCGTCGTCGATTTCGGGCATGTCAAGCAGAGCCAGATATGCATCTTTTTCGGTCGTGAGGTCGTCCTCTATGTCGCCATCATCAAAAACAATGATCCCTCCCTTTCCTGGTGTATAGGCACGCCCAATTCGACCCGCAACTACTCCGCTAGGACAGCGTGCCTGAAGACTTTCATCCTCATCAATGGCAGGCTCAAGAGGAAAGCCGCCGAAGACATTGCCAAGGTTCCAGGGACGGTGAGAGTCGATGACCCAGACCTCAACGCCGCCAAAGGTCAATTCGTCTCCTTCGGGCTCCAGCCCAAGCAAAGTCCCCAGGTCGACCATGCCCCCAACACCGAGACAGACGACGACTCCTCCGCTCGCCCCTTGGGTTTCCATCATGGGCTGGACCAAGTCCCGGCCGGCGCGCTCGAGATCGGCATAGCCGGAAACAGGCTGTATCTTGTGGGGGATGTAGTCGTGTTTCAATAAACGAGTCAAGATTCGGCATGCGCAGAGGGCGTCAGGCTCGAGCGCAACGAGGACGAGAACGGGTGGTGATAGTGGGTGTCGCGTGTTTTGTAGGTGAAGGTAGAGTTTGGATATCTGAGACCGTGGAAGATACATGGCTCAGAGGATTTCGACGCGTTCCCACGGTATCTGCCAAGCGGCTTCATGAGATGCAAAGGTCGCTTCTTTTTCTCAGGGTACGGAGGCGGACTTTGGATGTTATTGGCGTTCTGGGGCAGGCCGGGAAGACGGCGTCGGTAGTTTGGAAGCAAACGCGGCAAGCAACTCGAACAATGTGCTGGTAGGATCTGATCTGATTGAATCTTCAAGAACGGCAGATTGAATTTGCTACCTCATGCAAAGTCGATCTGCGGCGAGTGCAGTCGGTAGAGATGTTGACGAGTAGATTTTGACAAGGCAGGCAGTATGGACAAGGTACCAGCACCAGGGAAACGGGGTGGGAGTGATTGACTGAGAGGATGGCCCGGGCGGGTGATTGCCTGAGTGTTTTGCGCGTGAACGCGGTTTACGCGACTGGGGATTGATCTGTACGCGTGTGGTGGGGACGGGACGGGCACGCCCAGGTAAGGTGGTTAAGGTGAGGTGCACCACACCTAGGTTACCTGTCAGTGTCAGTGCAGTGAGAGAGGCAATGTAGCTAAGGCACCTAGTTACCTAGGTAAGGTAGGTAGGTACCTAGGTACCTCACGTGGGATGGACCGGGACACTGAGGGAGTTCGGCCGAATGCACTGACCAGATGGAAAGCCAGAGGGAATGGAAGGGAATGTCTTTCCAGCCCGGGCCCGTTCCTTCGTCAAGGATAGGTACCTGAGCCCCGGTCCTGGCGTTGATGCCATCCACGCCGTCGGATGTCAACCAGGCACAGGCACGCCAGGCAGGCACCTTCGCGCAAAGCCCAGGTTTAGGTTTGCTGGCATCATTTATCTTTACTTCGAGCCGTACAACTCCCGTCCCTTCGCCTCTCTCGACGCCTTTCAGGTCACATAAATGCTGCGATCGCTTTCTCGAGAAGCTGCAGGCGCATACTGAGGTATATCCGGGCTGTTGTGTCTGTTGCATGCCGCATATGCGCGACCTCCTCGAAATGGCAAAGCCCGCGTAGCTCGTCCTCGCGAATTGGTTTGCCCCCTCCATCTAGTGTGTTGGATACCTTGACTCACAGTGATCCGCCTGCCCGCCATGCAGGGGATTCAACTGAGATGAGGTGTCCGTTGTGACTCTCGCCGTGGTCGTGGATTCGGACATTTACCGCCCCAGCACGTTGGAGCCGGTTCTGCTCTTGTATTACTTTAATCAACGGATGGGCATCCTTAGAACACTGGGACCAGCCCCGTCAACACCAACGGCTGCGAGCAGTTGGCCGTGATTGGCCTACCACCCCGTTGGTACTGGCAGTAGGTGGTGTGCTCTGTTTTCTCTCGCCTGGCTTCTTCCCCGTCCCGCGTCTCCCAGATCATCCTCCCGTCTCGCCCTCTTTCTTTTCCTTTGCCTTGACCACAATTCGTTCCCGCAGTCTTCCGTACACCAATTGTCACGCTCTGCTGCTGCCTGGTCTTTTCGGCATTGCATGTCCAGCAGTCTCCACGGCTACGATTTACTTTGGCACCTTCCCACGTCGAGTACACATCTCACTTGCTGGACCCTCAGCTCGACGCTACCCGACCCTACAGTCCGGTTCGGACATTGCTGATGCAGCCGCCTGTCACTCAACACTTGCCACAGCCTTAGAACAAGCTCACAAACACCGGCAAAACCTGCTCCGTTACGAGGCATCTTGTCTGCCCACAACACCTTACAGGAAGGCAGTGCTATGTCGATGAATTCATACCCATCCGTTTCTCTGCAGAGCTGGTCTTAGGTCTCTCTCAGAGGCGCTGCGGCCATGAATACGTCCACCACCGAGCCAATAGAGCCGGCTCCAGCAGACACAGTGGATGACGACGCATTCGAGGGTTCGGATTACGGGGAGTCGCTCGTATCCTCGGGCTTCACATCGCTTGCTTCCCGCGTCATGAGACATTCGCACGAAGGTGGCAGGTGTGTTGCCCACACCCTCGTCTCCGTCCTTGGAACAAAACTGAGCCTTCACTCAATAGACGATATCAGTCCTTCCTCCAGGGAATATACCCCCTGCCCAACGACGAGACGGAACAGTTCCGGGAAGAAATGAAGCACCAATTGATCAAACGTCTTCTTGATGGCAATGACTACCTCTCTCCCATCAATGACAGTCCACAAAAAATCATGGACGTCGGCACCGGTACCGGCCTTTGGGCTGTAGAAGGTAAGTCTGGTGCTAGTCGTTCCCCGTGCATATGTTGGGTGAAGCTTGCAGTTCTGACCCATCTTCAAGTGGCCGACAAGTTTCCTAGTGCACATGTCATTGGAGTAGACATCTCTCCAATCCAGAATGCCTATGGTCCTCAGAATGTGGACTGGCGAATTGACGATGTTGAAGAAACCTGGTCCCCTCTATACTCTGACTTGGACTTTGTGCATTTGCGTTCAGTCAGTGTCACCCTTCGAGACCCAGTAAAGGTCATCACGTCGGCGTATCAGTAAGATGAATGCCTTGGGTTAACCCGTTCAACGGCTGACCTTGTCACAGTAATCTAAAACCAGGCGGTTGGATTGAATTCCAGGACGCTGGCGTCAAAATCGGATGCGACGATCACACGATACCCGAGCACTATGCTCCAACAAGATTCATGGACCTTTTCGTTCGCACGTTCAGAACTCACTTTTCCTGGGACCTAGGGATTCCCCTCATCCTACCCGAGATTTTAAGAAATATTGGTTTCGTCAATATCCACTGCCGAACTCACAAGATGCCCATCGGGCCATGGGCCAAGAGTAGGCATCAGCGAGAAATCGGTCTCTTCCTGAGTAAGGACGTCTTGTGGCAGCTCGTTCGCGCCGTCCTCGTGAAATGGCCGCAGATGGGCCTCACCCAGCAGGAGGCCGAAGCCATGGAACAGGACATCCGAAAGGCGTTCCACGACACCAGAATACATGCGTACCTGCCGTGGATCTCCGTCTGGGCCCAAAAGCCTTCCGCTTGAAACGAGACCTCCGCTTCCTGTGGTACCTTTACTGGCAGGCTACGATCTACCGATTGCCGACCAGAACTTGCTGCGCCGTTCGCCAATGGTTTCAATATGTTCCAGAAGGTTCAGTTAATTGTCAGTCCGGGTCAAGAAGTGGTCTTTCTGGCCGCGCTTTAGACTCATGCAAGAGTCTCAGCCAGACTTGTGTCGGCCGCTCCATGTCGTGGGTCGCGTCGCCTAGGAAGCAGACAGGGATAATACACGGTTGACAGCATGCGGGGCAGGGCGTAATAATTTGGCTTGATCGCGGTGCGAAGACTCGAACGCATGACCACCTGGGCACCGATGATACAGTCAGCGACCTCCGACAGGAAAGCTCTCCATCACAACACACCCCCCGTGCGATGTGATGGCCTGAGGGTGTAGAAAATGCGACATCAATCTAGCAGCTATACATGTCATGGCTTTCTCCCATACGTAACGTACACGTCGAAGTAGCCATGCCTCCTTACATCACGCCATTCTGCACTCGCCCTCGCGCTGAAGTCCCATACCTCCTCCTTTCTCCACCCCATAAACCGGGTGAAGAGGGCCAAAGTCATCGACTCAAGACCAACACTGAAGTTGGCTTCGGTCCAGAGGCCCAGGGTTTTATGCCTGACATCCCGCGGCCATTGATTGATGGGCCATTTGAACGGTATTCGCACAATGTCAATGAAGCCTGCATTGGCCATCATTTCCGCTGCCCGGCCACACGTGTCGAGGAGGAAACCCGATCTTCTACCAGCCTCCATCATGAGATCATTCCATCTCCCCAGATCGCATTCGGGTGGAATCGTCCCGTCATCGCATCGCATGGGAAAGTCGATATCCTGGATCTCGAGCCACCCCCCCGGGTTGAGGTTCCTGCGAGACAATGTTAGCGAAGGATAGGATGATGAGTGCAGAGCCGCGATTGGAAAAGCGACTGACTCAAATGCTTGTCGGTGAAAGTTGGGCCAGTCTCTAAAGGCACCTGTCATCATCATGCTGTGGATGTAGTCAAACTTTCTCGAAAAGCTCCATTCCTCTTCGAGGTCGTCTATTTCGTAGTGGACGTTGGGTGGTGTGCTGTAATTGTTAGTGAAGCCGCAGTAGAGCAGGATGAGCGATTCTTACAAGCCTGGCTGAACGGGCGAAAGGTCCACGCCAATAACCTCGGACTCGGGATGCTCTTCGCCTGGTCCCGGAATAAACACGCCTTCAGGTGCTAAAGGGACTCGGATAGTGTCTTACCAAAGTCTATTGCCCACATGCCTATGGGGTTGTCAATATGCAGGCTACAAAGACGTACGCGCGGAGGCCTAAGGATCGGGGCAGAGACGGAAAGGAAGAGAGCGACACACACCTATGCCACATCCAACATCTAAAACCCTATGTGGGTGGTAGACCGGCGCGAAGTTGAGCCTATTCTCGAACGTCAACTGGCATAGCTGGTACTGAAATGCTATTGCGACAGTTAGAGAGCAAGTACATCGCCGAATTGGTCTGCTAATAGCAGATGAACTCACCTTGGCGGTCGAGCTCCTCCTGCAGACAAAATTTCGTTAGTCCAGACGACATCATGTCGGCAGTCGTATTACGCTCGGAGATACTCATACTTGATCAGTTGGCAAGACATATTTGCCATCTTTGTACCCATGGTAGATACGGCCGTTCTCCTCCATGGCCCGGACTATGCTCGACCGTAATGAAGCGGTTGACGAAGGCCATGCTTCGGACTGTGATGCGTAAGCTCGCGAGTCTACGATTCCATTACTGCTGAATAACTTGCTTCGCCCAATGCCGAGTCGACATCGCTCCCCAAGTTGCTCTGCATATCGGCATCGGAAACTTCCTGTAAGGCGTGGTAAGTAAGGAACATAATAGAGATCAGGATCCCGAAGGTGGTGAGCCTCCACTTCGACGCTGACCTCGTCAGGTTCCAGGGCCAGATTGGCCCCCAGTGGAAGCACAGTGTCGGCACTATGCGTCGCTTCCAGGATCGGGTCCTCCATCGCCATCGTCTTGTCTCGTCGAAGCTCCTTCGAAGTCCCTGGCAGTGGTGCAGCATTAATTCGAGCCTGCTCCGACAATTCCGACAACAATACAGTGGCGAGATAGTTCAAGGCTCTATTAGCTCTTTCTTCTTTATCTATTTTTGCTTCAAAAGAAACCCCGAAAGCGGCTCGACACAATTTTTGAAAGGTGCTTGCCGTATCCCCCCTCTCTGCCATTGAGGATGGAGACGGAAGGTCACGTCTGTGGTAATAACATGAGGGGAACGGCTCGGCTGCGGTGCTCCTTGCGAGGGCAACACGAACAAGTGGCTTCCTTGTCAGGCCGAATTTTCGGTTCCGTGTCACCCGAAGCTGTGTATCTTTCTATCTTCCCTTTGGGCTAATCACCCTCCCCCCTCAACAGAGGGTAGGGACTCCGTGCCTTCTCTCTATCAGCGCAAAGAGCTCGGGACGATGGCGTCAGCCGCCTTCTGGTATAACAACAACAGATGATGCTGTACAGAAGTTAGTCACGGATGCAAGAACGATAGCTATGATATTGCTCGACTGGTTTTGCACAGGGTCGGTCCAAGCCTACGTACAGTTGAGGTATCAATATCGTACTGACGAGGAGGGTTGCACAAGCCACGTGCATTCGTCCAGTCATAACTTGACAGCTATAACCTGCGACTATGGCCAGGGGGTAGGTTGGCGCCTTCCGAGCTGTCAACTGCTGATGATATGCACGAACCATGGTCGTAGCCTGCAGAGAGGGGTAGGGATCCCGATGGCGAGGGTTCAGGTGGTGTTTTGAGAGCCGACAGTCGTAGCATACATCACGGCCGTTCCGCTGAGAGTCGGTTTCCTGCATACAATCATGCAGGCAGTCGGGGAGAAGACAAATACGGTGGGTGGCATGTTGCCGCTGTGGCCCACCAACGTCTTGCTATCATGACCATGCCGCGAGAAAACAGGAATAGTGGGTGTGGTAGCCGGCGAGAAAACAAGTCCGTCTGTCCGTTTCCTGAGAATCCTGCAGAGCCCGAGGCGATTCTTGTATTTCGAGCACCCGTGCGACAAAACAAGAGTGGCCGCAACCAGTGTGACTGGCTGGGTCCATCCACCCACTTTAGTCCAACGTCAGGTTCGAAAGATCCTGTGACCCGTTCCCTGAAATATCCTCGTGAATCGAAGAGCATGGAAAACTGCATAGTGGCTAGCAGTTCATGGCTGATGGCTGATGGTTTATGGCTATGGCAGTGGAGTTTGGCCACCGCGATCATGCATGTTACACGCAGATACCTTGGGCGGGATGCAGTATTCTCCCAGGCTATAGTGAAAGATGGGCACACGGCCGACGCATGCAGATATTCCTTGGGAAATTGACTGGCAGGTACACGTAGTCTTCCGATGGGTCGGTCGGCAAAGGAGGCCAACAAGTCGGACGTCTTGCGTCTGACCGGCGTGTCTGTCACGTCTGGCCAGGCTCCCGTTCGATGCCTAGCAGGCTAGACCGGAAGACTGCAGATGACAGCTCATATTTTCTATTGGATGTAAGTGCAGGAGCGAGACCAGAGAGGTAGTCGGGCAGATAGGTCACGACGGAAGGAGAAGAGTCTTGGACGGGGTGCTGGGAGAAACCCTCGTCAAGACGGAAATGGCAGCCGCGGGAATGATGTCAAAAGCAAAGGAGTGAGAGGAACAGAGAGGGGAAGCAAAAGGAGGGAGGAAACAACAGATCTGTGTCTGTTTTGATTCTTAGGTCGTTACCAATTTGCCTATTACAGTACCTGCCTACCTACGATAGAAGGTGAATATTTGCGATTCTGCCGCCTTCCCAGTGCTCTCGGCAGGCATCTGCCATGGATACCGTAGATATCAAAGGACCCTTACAACGATGCGGAAGATATTTGAAATGACCCTACCACACATCGTGCCTGTCACTGCAGGGTAAGGTACCATGAGGTGTCGACAAAGAAAACCCGGCCAGGCCAGACCAGGCCAGGCCGGAGGCGGTCGAGGACACTCACCCTCCCTCTCCCCTTCACTCGCTCTCGCCCACCTAGGTGTTCGTTGGTAAGGTACCTACCTCACCCCATCCGGCAATCTTACCTGCAACTGGTTACTTACACGTTGATTTTCATGCCATCACCGGGCGTCATTGCCGCCTGCCGCACTTTTATGCTCTTGCCCTCCCGGGAAGGACTCGATGCCATCCAAGCCCCGGCCGCCGTGCTTACCTTACCTTCCGTTACCTACCGGACTGCCTCGACCTGAGGTACCTTACCTTACCTGATCACCTACCACTCTTCCCCATCTCTCCGAGGGCCCCGAAGTAAAGTAGGCAGGTAGGTACCTACATAACTTAACTTCTGGTTTGTCAAGTCAAAAACTTGCCTCCTCCCTCGACTTCTTCCGGCTGTCAGACTCACACCCTGCATTCACTCTCACACTCAGCCCGATCCACACCACCCTCGACAGAGAGGAAGGGGGAGAAAGGAAAAGAAAGATAAAACCAGGTGGAAGACAAAAACCAGAATCCACTCTTCATCTCACATCACGGCCCCAGACCCTGCCTCACACAACCGCCTCAGACAAGGCGTCATGGCTGCCCTCATCGAGCTTTCGGGCCGCTTCCAGAGCCCGTTTATTCCTCTGCTTGCTGCCCTTCTCATACTTCTAACGGTGATGAACTACCGCTCATGGAACCGTCTCAGACATATTCCTGGACCGCCAGGTGCTGCCTTCAGCAAATGGTGGATGCTACGTAACACACTGGGTGGGCAGATGCATCTCGCCCTCAAGCGAGCCTGTGATGACTACGGTGAGTCAGCCCTGGAATCTTCCTACGCCCGGTCCCCAGCACATTTCCAGCCCTCACCACTCAACCGCTCGCCTCTGCCACAGAGATGAGTTGTGCCGTCCGAGAAGGTCTCAGACACACATGCGCACTCGTCCACTGCGTGCTCAAGAGCCGCAGACATTTCCCCTGTCTGGCTTCCACAGGCTGCTGACAAAAACCCTTGCGTTGTAGGCCCGGTCGTCCGCATTGGTCCCAACGACTTGGTAACCAATGACGCGGAAATGCTTCGTCGGATGTGGGCGGTTCGTTCGCCATATCGCAAGGGCGCCTGGTATCAGGCCGTCAGATTCGATCCTACCAGGGACAACATCATCTCTATGAGAAACGATCATGACCACAATGAACTCAGAGCCAAGATGGCCATTGGTGTAAGTTGTGCCATGTTCCTGTCTTTCCTGGTCTTACATTCGATTTTCATCAACGCGCCATCCTCTGACACAAAATCAAACAGTACTCTGGCAAGGAAAATGAGGGTCTTGAGTCCACCGTCGACATTCAAATACAGTCACTCGTCCGGCTCATTGAGGAGAAATATGTGTCCACTGCTGTCAACTTCCGACCTGTGGATTTGTGCAGGAAGATTCAGTACCTCACGTTGGACATAATCACATCGCTCGCGTTTGGCTATCACTTCGGGTACCTCGAGCAAGATGCCGACGTTCACCGATACATCCAGACGACCGAGGAGAGCATGCCAGTCATGATGACACTCACCGTGTTCCCTCAACTGGCAAAACTGCTTCAGTCGCCCCTTTTCCGCCGGGCAATGCCCTCGGAGCATGACCGCGTGGGTTTTGGCCAGTTCATCGCGTGAGTGATTGTGTTGCTCTGTGCCATCTTTGGTGTAAACACAAGACCACTAACTGTTGTTTGTTTCATGCTAGCGTCGCGAAGAGGGTTGTCGCAGAAAGGCTTATGTCAGACAAAACGGCGAAACGGCGGGACATGTTAGGGTCCTTCCTTGCACATGGCCTGACCAGAGAGGAGGCTGAGGGTGAGACATTGGTACAGATCATAGCCGGATCCGACACGACGGCCACTTCAATCCGGACCACAATCCTGTATCTGATGACAGCCCCATCCTGTTATTCCCGCCTTGCCAACGAGATACGGGATGCGGCGCGAAGGGGTATGATATCATCCCCCATTACTAACCGGGAAGCGGGTGACCTTCGCTACTTGCAAGCTGTGATCAAGGAAGGCTTGCGTGTGTTTCCTCCGGTCACCGGCCTCATGTCGGCAACAGTGCCCAAGGGAGGTGATTTCATGCATGGCATGAGTATACCCGAAGGAGCTGATATTGGTTGGACTGCCTTCGGAGTGCTCCGCTCCAAAATGGTATACGGCCCAGACGCCGACGTGTTCCGGCCGGAACGCTGGTTAGAGGCCGAAGATGATCAACTCAAATCCATGACGGCGCAATGGGAACTGGTCTTCAAGTACGGCAAGTGGCAGTGTCTGGGGAAGACGGTGGCCCTATTGGAGATGAACAAAGTGTTCGTTGAAGTAAGTCTTCTCTGGGCTAGCCAGCGTCCTGCGCAAGAGGCATCTTTGGTTGACTAACTGTCACTGCCAGCTCTTGCGGCGATTCGACTTTGCCCTGACGGACCCTACCAAATCATGGAACTCGTTCTCAGCTGGAATATTTATCCAGTCTGGCCTGTGGGTTAGAGTGAGCAGAGTGGAGTAGCCGAGACGAGAGGTAGCCAAAAGGTCATTGGAAAGATCAGGTGTGGGATGTGGATGGCGAATCCTTTGAGAATAGGTGCGAATGATGCAGCACACATGCATGCGTTGGTAAAATTGTAGATGGAAGCACATACAACCGAAGCAAGTTGGCAAGAGCCAAGCGTCCCCCCCTCTCCCCCTTCTTTGGACTGTAGGCTACCAAATACTGTTTGAAGGCATTCAACCTGTGTTGAAAGCGAACCGTAGAGTGCTTTGCATACCGGTCGACCCTGTGGGCGGATGAGGATAGGTCGGTCGCATGCTTCAGAGATCCGAGACCGAAGTTCTCTCGGCGAGTCATGGATGTGCGTTTTCTGTTGTGTTCGTGTGGACGGTTCAGAAGGTTGCAAATACTAATTATATAGATTTCTGATGGACGTGGTAAAGGTGAGGTGCTAATTAGGCGATCCTTTCCTCCTCTCCGCACTCAACCGGCTTAACCGAGCCCCTAAACCCCACAACTTTGAAGTAAGTTGCCGTCCTTAGCAGAAGCACCTTACTCGGCCCGCTGGGTTTAGACCAGATAGTCCGGTGTCGCCCCGACCCCCTTGTAAACCTTCCCACTGGGTGCACTTTCGAATGAAATGACAGTACCCACGCACCGCGGCGACTCCTTTTCCACTTCCATTGCCAGGCAGGCAGAGGCGCCATCCCTGTAAACAAGACGACTTGGGATGAACGTGCAGGGCAGTCCAGAACGATGATGCCGGTAATAAGCTTTGTTGCAAACTAATGTTTTCCTGCACAATACGAGTTGCTTGGGATGTCTCAGCACGAGGATTTTCGTTTGTATTGTGTACAACAACTATATATATACATATCAGGCAGCCGTCACCAATGGCGTCGATGTTGCCGAACCCTACCTCCGAAAGCCATTCATAGGATCAAGCACGGATTTCGCCATACGCTGGGCACTTGCTTCCCATTTGTGACGCCATGTCTCTGCGATCTGGGTTGCTCTCCCTATTCGGCCTCGTCGCCACTGTCCTCGCGGCAGATCTCGATGACTTTGTCACTCGTCAAAGAGATATTGCTCTCATAAGCGCCCTGAACAACATTGGACCCCATGGTTCAATGATTCAAGGGGCTGGTGCCGGCATTGTCGTCGCCAGCCCGTCCAAGTCGGACCCTGATTGTTTGTTACCGACCCCAAGCTCCATTATCTTCGTTCGCTAACCCAGTACGCGCCGCAGACTTTTATACCTGGACCCGAGATGCCGCATTGACCATGAAGATGGTCGTCGACGAATTCATTCTTGGCAACAAGGATCTCCAAGTCTACATCGAGGACTACTACCACTCTCAGGCTATCCTGCAAACCGTCACAAATCCTTCGGGGTCTCTGCTGGCCTCTGGCCGCGGCTTAGGCGAGGCCAAGTACTTGGTCGACGGCTCACGCTTCAACGGTGCCTGGGGTCGCCCTCAAAGAGACGGGCCGGCGTTGCGAGCTATCACACTCATTACCTATTCGCATTGGCTTATTCAGAATGGCCAGGAATCCAAGGTCAAAGACGTCATCTGGCCCATTATCGCCAACGATTTGTCCTACGTTGGCCAATACTGGTAAGTCAATCTCCCGGAAGACGCATGTCGTGTCGATGGCCTAATAGGGAGCCTAGGAACTCTACCGGATTCGACCTCTGGGAAGAAGTCTCCGGCTCTAGCTTTTTCACCACTCAGAGCCAGTATCGGTCCCTCGTGGAAGGCAACACGCTGGCACAATCTCTTGGCGTCAAGTGCGCAGGCTGTGAGCTGGCACCCGACGTCTTGTGTTTCCTCCAAACTTTCTGGAACGGGGAATACTTCACGGCCAACATCAACACCCAAACACAACGGTCCGGCAAGGATGCCAACGTCATGCTCGGGTCCATTGCTGTGTTTGATATCGCAGCTAGCTGCGACGATCCTTCCATTCAACCCTGCCACAGCAAATCTCTGGCCAACTTCAAGGTCTTGATCGACGCTTTCCGCAACGCCACGCTCTACCCCATCAACGAGGGAATCGCCAAGAACAAGGGTGTAGCTCTGGGCCGCTACACCGAGGATGTGTATTTTGACGGCAATCCTTGGTGAGTTAAATCCGAAATTCCACGCCAACAGCATGTTGCTGATCCGCGATTAGGTATCTCATCACCATCGGAGCAGCCGAGTTCCTGTACGACGCAGTGGCTCAATGGAAGTCGCAGGGCCAAATCAAGGTGGACTCGACGTCGCAACCTTTCTTCGCCGACTTGTACCCCAAAGTCAAGGAGGGCACTTACCAGAAGGCCGCCAACCTATCCAATGACTACAGCAGCATTCTCAGCGCCGTCACCGCCTACGCGGATTCCTTCGTTGCCGTAGCCCAACAGTATATCCCCAAGAACGGCTCAATGTCTGAGCAGTTCAACAAAGCCCCGCCAGGCAACCCTATCTCTGCGGCTGACCTCACATGGTCGTACGCGGCCTTCGTCACGATGAGTGAGCGCCGCGCCGGCTCGTACCCGGCCAGCTGGACTGCCTCCACGGAGCTACCGGCTACATGCACCACATCTTCGACGACCGGCATTTACGCCCCGGCAATCGCTGCCGGAGCCCCTAACGTGACGGGCTCCTGCCCTGTATCCGTCAGTTTCTTGGTCAATGCGACGACGTATTACGGCGAAAATGTCTACCTTGTCGGCAATATTGCCGAACTTGGTTCCTGGAACGTTGGAAATGGCCAGCAAATGAGCGCATCAAATTACAGCTCTGAACGTCCGCTTTGGACCGTCGACGTAGAAATTCCCGGGGGCCAGAACGTGAGCTATGTCTACGCGAGGAAGCAAAACTGCGACCAAGGCTACATTTACGAGACAACAAACCGTACACTGGCTGTACCTGCCTGTGGCTCGACGAAAAGCCTGGCGGTAAATGATGCTTGGGAAGGGCCTACGGGATCAAGTGGCACCTGCTAAGCTGGGCACCAAGTGTCGTGCTGATGGGTAATAGTAAGCACATAATGTGAAAAAAGAACTCTCATTTAATACATGGACAATTGCCCAGGCCTTTGCCTTACCCTTCACATGTAGGAGGGATTGAAAGTTCCTCAGCTCCCAAACATATTACCACCATCCGGGTTCCCCATCATCCCCGGGCCGACCATGCCATTACCGCCCAGAGGAAAGCCGCCGAAACCCCCTCCGAATGCCGCATACGTATCCATGTCGTACCCTTGCATCAAGTAGCTCCAATCCATATCCACAACATCACCTTCCGAAGCCGGGGGACCCATCGCCGGGGTCCCCGCAGTCACCGATGGCGGCGTCATGATCATGTTTGTCGGCATTTGCATGGGGCCGACCTGGGACGTAGTATTGTTGACCGGTGCATTTCTGGCAGCCTGTTGTGGGAATCCGGCTCCTCCATCTGGCCCGGGCCGGCCGCCGCGCTGCTTCTTGCCCGCCTTCTCTGCCCGCTGGCGCAACCTCGTGATCCACATGGGCTCCTGCTCAGGTCTTCCGATCTGTTGCTGGCCGGCTTCGTGAGCGTCCCATGCCTTAATAAATAGATTGCCGAAAGCGATGTGCATCGGGCTATGCAGTGTATTCATCAGCCCTCGCCGTTCGTGGTTCTCAGCAATGGCATCCCATGCTCTTTCAACCATCGGCCCGGTCAGCCGTTGCCGTAACTCCGTCACCAAGAACATGTAGGCGGGAAAGGGGAAGTGGAGGTACGTATACCACTTATATCCCTGCAGACTTTCCGCGGCCTGGACAATGTTATCGTACTCGATCATCTGGATAGCTTCAAGAAAGAGTGTATCGCGCTCATGATCTTGGAGCGTGGTCGCTTCGCCGTTGCCCATCCGTACAAGGAATGAGATGACCCTCATCTTACAAAGTGATTGCCGCGTCATCGTCAGAGTAAAGAAATGTAAGGGTATTTTGGGGTCACACCATTTGAGGTAGGTGCCCTCGATATGCGCGAAGAAGCCGTCTAGTGTGTAGGTTTGATCCTGCCCAGCCATGCGGACCGTCGGGACCGGTCGCGGTGCGATAGCCGCTGGACCGGATTCTTTCTCCTTGTCCCCATGGCGCTGCCCATCGCGTACAGTATCGCTGCTAATAGCCATGGCCAACTCTGTCCGGATGAGGACGAAGAGCATCTCGGTCGCACCCTGGTGTGGAGTCGGAGCATCTTTACCGTTGATATGTAGGTCAGTATCGTTGATATTGAGAGGCAGCTTGCAGTCACCGGCAGTAGACAAAGCTGTTACGGTTGAGCCCGTCATCTCTCCTATTCGACGATCGTAGCCGACAATAGTCCACCAGAGACGCCGCCGTTGCTCGACCTCATAGGGTGAGAGCCCAAAGGCTGCAGCATCCCGATGCAGACCCATCCGCTGGCCGATCCTTACAGCTATGCCGACCAGGCAAAAGATCTGTCTTGGATCGACGAACATGCGAACGGCGATCTATTCGCGTTAATTAGCAAGCCTGCTGTGTAGAAACGCGTTTACAGAAAGCGGTTCGTATCTACCAAGAAGAGCATATAGGCCTGGAGGACCATGGTGTCACTTGTCCGCATAAAGCCAGCGTTGACAAGTGCCTGTTGGAGAGCCGTATGGAACCTAGATAAGACGGAAGGTTTGGGTTCGTTAAACATCTTGGCGACCTCGGTATCCTCAAGTGAGGTGACTGCTAAAAGATAAATTGCAAACATGAGACATTCCACGTTCTTTGAAATCTTCTCGAGGTTAGTACTGGCCTCTATGATGAGACCTTGAACAGTGGGAACATGTGTTATTTTCAGGAGAGGATTGACGTTGTTGATATAAATTTGCCAGAGTTGAAAGATTTGAATGGGAGATGGATGCAGGTGTGTCACGGAAGCATTCCGGTTGCCGACAATGAATGGGAAGCCATCCTGGTTGTCATACATCTTATCGAAGGCGTGGTGTATCGTGGAACCATCGACCTCATCTTCTGAGGAATCCCTCAGCAGTTCCTCGCTGGCTCTGAACTGGGCCATCAGTTAGGACAGAGGGTGGCAAAAGGCAAAAATGGGGCGCGTAGATAAATGAAGCGGAGGAGGGCAGCAAACCTCTTTGTGAAAGGGAAACCATTTGTTAAAGGGTCTAGTATATCGAGTTACATATTAGCGCATGTACGAAGGGGGAGTTCTTGCTGTAGTAGTAGTAGTAGTAGTTGTTGTTGTAGTGGTATAGTGCCGCTTTACTCACTTGTCGGACTGTGACCTCCTGCTGCCGGCGACGGAGGGTGATGTGCTTCCCTCGGGAGACGTCTTGAGACCCTCGAAGTCGTTTTCCAGCTCAGCAACCTCATCGATACTAGGGCCCTCGTCGATGTGGATAGAGTCTCGGTCTGAAGGCTTCAGGTCGGCTGCGATGGGGTCGAACTTGACGCCATTTTCAGCCAAGAGCAGCTCATACTTTTTCAGTCTGTCGACAAGGTCTCTCTCTTGAAGACGCTTCTTTCGTCGCCTCGGTGGTTGTGGGGGGATGACTCGACATTCGACGCGAGCCTTGACACAGTTGGCACAAGGCTTGTTCTTGTCGCAACGAACCTTTCGCTGCTGGCAAAGAACACATGATGTGCCTCTGGTAAGCTTCATGGCAGCCATGGGGTCGGGTTCGGGGGGAGGAGGAGCCCTCGGCGGTGGTAGTAATTGTGCTTCTCCCGACATGGTTTATTATGTGGATGCGGGCAACTTCTGGTATGCCGATGGCGAGACGCTGACTGACTGGCTGATTACCATACAGGTCTTGATGTCGGCTGGCTGAATCCCGGTTCGGATCCGAAAGGTGAGGTTGCAGGCGAAACGTTGACGGGGTGCGGGACGAGTTTAACGAAGAGACCAATGAACAATCATCAGATGCGCCAAGGGGCAGCTGGCCAGACCTGTCGGTATGGAGTGGAGTGGAGTGGAGCGGAGCGGCGTCGTATTCTGTCTCGAGGGGCTCTCTGCCGGAGACCACGAGGTTCGGTGAAGATTTGCTTCTGACTACCCGAGACACTGTTGGAATGGACGGTCTGTTGGATTGTCGGAATGGGCAGAAGATGGCTGCGGTAAGCCTAGTAGATGTGTATGTGTGTACGAATAATGAGCAGGCAGCAGGCAGAAGCTCAGCTTAGAGTAGGTTTGGTGGAGACAAGCGTGGATATGCGTGCCGAGATGGAGAATTTAGGGGGACAGGCGAAGTAAGGCAGACGGGGGTAAAGGTATGGATTGGTAGGTCCAGTTAGATACGGATAAGGTACCTAGGTAGGTAAGCGGTTGGGGTCGGTTGTGGAACCAGGCGTTGAGGGTAATGGATCCGTAGGCGGTGGGAGTATCAGCATCCGCATCAGCACCAGCACCAGCACAAGCTCTGGTATCCGCAAAGATGGTATGCTAGGGCCAGGCAATGGGACTATTCGTGGACCAAACCGGAAGAGACAGGACGAACGACAGGGCCGTGGGCGTTTCCAGTCCGGTGGGTGTGGTGCTGTTGAGGCTCTTGCCTACGTTATAGGGTAGGACCGTAGCTTAGGTCCGGCGACGACCACACGGCGAGACTGGGACCTTGGAACTGGGAACTGGTGGATGGGATGGGATGGGATGGAACGTCGCGATGTCTGAGGGGGAAGACCGGCAGGGAGAGAGAGCACCTGAGGAGAATACCTAATTAATTACCCGTCCGGGACCGAACGACAGGTGACATTGATCCAAGTTGACAGATTAGAGGTCAATGCAACAACAGAGAGCCCAGCTTTCCACAAACAGCCCTAAGCAGCTTTAGGTACCTAAGCAGGGACATCGGGCAATAAGGTGCACCTCATGCCTTACCACACCACCTAAGGCACCTTACCTAAGGTACCTAAGGTAGGTAGTGCTACAGATACCCAGGCACCTTGTCTATGCATTGCATTACCCGAGCACCCGAGTCCATGCCGCAAACGGCGCAGTCGGGACCCCGCCGGACACCAGTACGACCTCCGGTGCCCGAGACATGGCCTTCTAAGGTCCCATTGATGCTGAGTATCCTTCGCTTCTCCCTGCGAACATGTCCGGAACTAACGAGCGACGACACTCGCCTGGACATCCCCACCGGCCTCGACTAAGCTCTTCTGGCACCCATCCCACCGCCATTGCATCGCAGTCGCGTGAGACACTCGCGGCAGCCACCATACGATGATGGTGTACATAGTATCGCGTCGTGTCCGAGGCACCTTCACTGGTCGCCGACGGCCGCGTTGATACCATGCTAAGTAACCAAGTGTCCGTAGCCACCCATATGTATAATTAAAATGGCCTGAGTCGACCGATTCTCACCCGTCTGTGGTTCATGCCTGTGAACTGCCCGAGCGCCAAGCAGCGAGAAGAAAAAGCGGCAGAGGCGAAAGAAAAAGAAAGGGGAAAAAAAAAATCAAACAAGCAAATCCAGCCGAACTTGTTGTCCGCTCACTCATTATTCTAATCAATTCCTGCCACCAGAGCCAAAGCCTTTTTTTCCCCTCCCACCGTCTTGTGCGGCCCCTCCATCTCTACCTCCTCGGGGGCATCATCATCGCGAGTGGGCCTAATTAGAGAGCATCCCGAATCATCATGGTCGACACTCACCCAGCGACCAAGTCTGCCGAGGGCGACGGCGCTTCTTTCAACGGCGAAGCTTTCCGAGCAACAAATACCTCAACACCCACCTTGGCCCCAAGGGAAAGCGATGATCACGTGGAGAAGAAATCGGAGGACAGGCCATCAACATTACAGGAGAAGGTCACGGTTCACACGCCGATAATATCAGCCAGCCCTTCAGCCAATGCCAGCCAGCTCGACGTCTCGAAAGAGCCTAATCTGGACGAGAAGCAAGATGCAGAGAACCCCGCTCCGGAGGGGCTACCGGTTGAGATTGACGAGGCAGAAGAGAATTTCAAGCCAAAGAGCATCAAGTTCTGGCTCACCATCTTTTCCAACTTCATCGCCTTATTCTTGGTGGCACTCGATCGAACCATCATAGCCACCGCAATCCCACGCATCACTGACGAGTTTGGGAGCTTGGGGGATATCGGCTGGTATGGGTCGGCTTACATGCTCACCACTGCCGCTTCCCAACTAGTGTTTGGCCGAGTATATAAGTTCTACAATCTTCGATGGTACGTAGTGATACGACTAGGGGCTACAGAAGCGTTCGTGGCTGATTTTTTTGCGCGTACAGGGTTTTCCTCAGCAGTATCTTTGTTTTTGAGATTGGCTCACTTCTTTGCGGCGTCGCTCCCAACTCGGCCACTTTGATTGCAGGAAGAGCCATTGCAGGTGTCGGCTCCGCTGGTATATTCACTGGAGCCATGATGGTCATGATTCCAATGGTGCCGCTACACAAAAGGCCAATGTTTCAAGGTAACCAAACATTACTGTCTTGAGCAGACGTGTCCAAGTTTTAACACCAACCGTAGGCATCTTTGGTATGGTCTTTGGCCTTGCTTCCGTGATCGGGCCACTGATCGGCGGTGGCTTCACGGGCACAGTCACTTGGCGGTATGTTGCACTCAACATGTCTCTAGCTTGAATGGCTTGGACTGACGCGGGAATCCGGAAAACAGATGGTGCTTTTACATGAATCTTCCTATTGGAGGCGCGGCTTTGGTATACCTGTTCTTCATGCTCAAGGCTCCCAAGCAGCAACCACGAGAACCTGCAACACTCACCCAGCATATCTTGCGCCTTGATCCCTTGGGGACGTTCTTCTTCCTACCCTCCATCGTGGCCCTTCTCCTTGCCCTGGAGTGGGGCGGAGCGACGTATGCATGGAGCGATGGCCGTATCATTGCTCTTTTCATAGTCTTTGGGGCTGCCTTCAGCGCTTTCGCCGCCGTCCAGGTATTCATGCCCAAGACGGCAACGGTTCCAGTCAGGATCATCACCCAGAGGACCATGCTAGCCGGCGCATTCTTCATGTTTTTCTTGGCTGGGTCGATGATGTTGGCGGTTTACTATCTTCCTCTTTGGTGTAAGTTCTCTCTCTCTCCCCCTCCCCCTCCCCCCTTCTTACAAAAAAAAAGGGGGGGAAAGGGCCGGTGTGTTGCTGCGAGGAGACGATGTGTTAATCAATATTCCAGTCCAAGCTGTACAGGGTGCGGATCCCGTGGACTCTGGTATTTATACACTACCACTAGTGCTCAGCATCGTGGCGTCATCCATCATCTCAGGGGGAGCGACGCAAAAGATTGGCTATTACGTGCCATCGATGATCCTCTGTCCATGCATCATGGCAACAGGTCTAGGATTGATGAGTACCTTTCAGCCGGGAACTAGCTCGGCACACTGGATCGGATACCAGTTTCTCACAGGTTTCGGCCTGGGGTTTGGCATGCAAACCGTCGGTCTTGCTGTGCAGGCGGTGTTCCCCAAAGAAGACGTGTCAACAGGTGTTTCCATAAGCTTCTTTGCGCAGCAATTGGGAGCAGCTATATTCGTCTCGGTAGGACAGTCGATTCTCAGCAACATGCTTGTGTCGCAGCTTTCTGGCATTCCTGGACTGCCTGCACAAGTCATTGTCAAGATTGGGGCAACCGACTTACACAAGGTCGTTCCGTCCCAGTTCTTGGATGTGGTCGTCAAGGCATACAACTACGCATGCACTAGGATCTTCTTGGCAGGCATGGGCCTGTCATTGGCAACGCTTGTTTGCGCTCTATGCATGGAATGGAGAAACATCAAGAAGGGGAGGAACCGTGCCAGTAGAATCGAGCCGGAAACTGAGGCGTAGTGATGGATCATCAGGCGAGGGGACGCGGCAAGGGCGACTTAGTGACAGAGAGGCACATACATACCATATACGGTACCTTATTTCACCTACCTTGAAATACCTACCTTGAATGATGATTGTATTCGGTGGGCTCAGGCGATCAGGGCCATCTCTAGTGTAGCGCCAACGCACGATGTTGGGCCCTGAACGGGCTGCCATGCATTTCGGGGCTCACTGACAGAGGCCACACACAGCGACAACGCACGTCAGGCCTCTCAAACTACCAAACTAAAAAAAAAACTTGCCTTCAAAACCGGCCCATTTCCGATTCCGATCACCTTTTTCTCTCAGGTTCATGATCCTGCCTGAGTCGGGTTCGTTGAGTAAGGTACGGCTGAAGTGACGCTCCGCTTAGGCATCCGTTCCCGTGTTCAGCTTCTCATCAGATCTTTGTCGTCCCACATTACAGTCAATGTGCATGCATGCATGCGCTGCGGACGAGGCAACTGGCTCCACGTATTTTTGCGCGCCTGTTCCCCGATCAATGAACGTCCCATCAATTGAAATCCCCCTCCGTTCGAGCCGATGGTTCCCATCTCGAGGATCAGTGGAAGCACCACGAGTATGCCAAACCAGACTGCTGTTTCTCTGAAACGCAAAAGGGCAAGCAAACCCAAAGTTCGAACAGGGTGCTTGACATGGTGAGCCCCTATTCATTACATACTACTGCATGCCCCTGTTCCCGCGGCTGTCAAGATTAACTGAGCGCAGCAAGTACGACACTCTTACCAACGAGAATGGTGCCTGGGCTGCGAACTGCTGACGCATGGCTACAATTTTTTGTTTATACAGAATAAGACGCATCAAGTGCGGAGAAGAGAGACCTGCCTGCATACGTTGCATATCGACCGGAAGGAAATGCGATGGTTACGACCAAGTTATGCCGTCTCGACCGGCAGAGGCGGACGACGATACGCGTGCTCCCGCTCTAGTTGCCCAGGCATCTTGTATGCAGCCATGCTCTGAAATCAAGGCTCTGCGCATATTACGGCCCTTAGTCGCCGACATAGACGGCACTCACACGGAGCGTGTCTATTTCCACCGCTTTCGTCGCGTTGCCGAGGCCGGTCTCTGTAACCATGTCACCAACCTCACCAGTTTTTGGAGCCGATTAGCCCCTCGGTTGAGCCATGCTGACGAGACTGTGAAGCATGCCGTTGTAGCTCTTGGCTCCGCGTATCAAATTTATCAGTCGGAGATCCGTCAGAACGATTGCAGCTCGTCGCGCCGGCACCTCGAAATTTTCACGATTCAGCAGTACGGCACAGCAATGTCTAAGTTGTCCAGCTGTGCCCATGTGCCAATGAGAGACAGAATTCTCGTTACACTCCTCTGCTGCGTGTCTTTCGTCTGCATAGAAACACTTCGGAATAGTTGGCGGCCAGCGTTGACTCACTTGTCAAATGGCCTGCGTATCATTGAGAGCTTGCCGATGAGTACGCTCGACGAGCTTCGAAATATTCGTCCAGCCCACGAATGGGAGAAAGCAACGGAAGAGATACTGGGGATGGACTATATTCTCCGTCTCTTTGCCACCTGGGAGGTTTCTTGTGCTCTATTCGCCGAAAATTTCAAGCCTTTCATCTCCATCAAGCTGTACGCAGGGCGAGAGCTTGACGACACGCCTACAGAAGAGTTCCAGTCCATAACGCAGGCTCACCGCGTCGTCGTACAGTACACCCGGGATGTATTCGCCCTCGTTTGGTTGACTCGAGAGCACCAAGGAGATGATGAGTTCTGGTCTCAGCCAATTCCCCAACGCCAGCACGACATATTGACTCAGAAGGGCAAGGATATGGCAGGGCTTTTCGAAAGATTTCTGGCCACGTCGCAAGCTCCGCGGGCCGGCACAGGAGAGCATGATTCCATATGCCTAGACACGTTGCATTACAAGTGTGCACGTCTTCTCTGCCACAACCTACGCCAAAGACCTCACCAGAGGTCCCAATCTCCAGAAGTCGTAGCTCGCTATGCGGAGCTGGTTTCCATTGCCTCTCTGTTACAACAAAGGCTCACAGCTAGGCAGAGGGAGACCACAGCCTTGCCTCGCTCCTTTACACTTGACATCGGAATCATTCCGCCGCTTTATTTTATTATCGTCAGCTGTGGGGATCCAGTCGTTCAGAAACGTGCCCTTCGACTGCTGCAGAACTACCCACAACGAGAGAACTTTTGGGATGGTAACTCAGTGCGAAACTTGCTACGAACGGCTGAAAATATCAGCTACGGACCAGCGCACCCTTTGCAAGAGGTGCCCAATTCGCTGGCGTTGGGAAAGGGGATACCCGCGCTATATGAGAAACTCCAAGAGCTACGGATCAAAGTTGAAGAAGACTAAAAACGTGCTTAGGCAAACCGGGTATCGACACAATGATTTACTCATGTGTCCTAAATTGTTGCTGTTGGTGTCCTCTCTACTCGAAGCATGTGCTGGCCCTCATTTGTGTATAGAGAAGAAGATAACAGGAAAGAAGGTAACAAGATCTACGACCTAAAACCTCAGACGTTTCCGTTCATTAGCAAGTCGATTGTTGAGTGAGTACCTACTTACTTCCACATTAGGTTAGGTAGCTGCGCAAGACCGCACTGGTGGTCAATGGCCGATGGTACGTGCCCTTCTGGCATCCTTCGTGGGGCCTTTGCTGTGAACCACATCATCCAAGCTACAATCGCCACGCAATCGTCGCGCGTCTGGTTCGCAACGTCGATACTCGAGAAGCGCATTCAAAACTATTTGACACTAAAAGTCGCACTCGATGGCATCGTTTCCTCACGAAGTTCCCACAATCACCGAAGAGAGGACCGGTTTCGACTTGAATCTCCAGCATGGCCACCAGGATCTGGTTCAAGCTGTAGCCTTCAATGCCTATGGCGATCGCTGTGCAACCGGCTCCGTCGACGGGAAGATCAAAGTTTTCAACCGTCACAAGGATGGTGTCTGGCATCATTGCGATACTTGGGGGGCGCATGGCAGCGAGATTCTTGAGGTAGGCGATTCTGACGCTGCGCACAATCACTGCCCATTCAAGACTGACACTCCCTCCACCCAGCTCCAATGGCTTCCCCCGACCGTATATCCGAATCTCATCGCATCTCTCGGGATAGAAGGCCGCTTCAAGTTATGGGCCGAAGATCCATCTGCTGCTCCAGGCCGTCGCTTCAGCGCCAGCAACCGTGCGACAACAAGCAAAGCCGCATACGAAATGCGCTCCTCGAAATACCCCTACCGCTCGTTTTCCATGAAGCACAACGAGGAGACAAGGCACACGTACCTTGCCCTTCTCGCCTCCGACGGTCGCCTGATTGTGTACGAGAATGAGCAACCTGAAAACATGTCCGAATACACCTCGATAGACGAGTTTAGCATATGTCCCAAGCCGAATCGCGGAGAAGAGGTTAGCTTCAAAGTTCGGTTCGATTCGAATCCAGAGCCGTGTTACAGTGCATTGCGGGCAGGGGTCGCACACGACTCTTTAGGCCTCGTTGTGGCGGGTATGTCCTCGGTCAAGGTGTATCGCTCTAGGGACGTGATCACAACCTCGTACGGCGTCGCTCAATCACAACGCGAGTTCTATCTTGCTGTTGACGTTGGTGTCCATAGAGGCCTTGTACGCGATATAGCATGGGCGCCTGGGAATATCCGAGGATACGACATTATTGCGACGGCTTGTCAGGACGGGTTTGTACGCGTATTCCGCATAGACACACCCTACTCGTCAGACGATGGCAAGACATGGTCAACGGCGGAACTCACGAGACATGAAAATCACCAGGCGCAGGCATTCTCCAACGTAAGCCAGTCCACAGACAACAAGCAGCCTCAATCAGGTCTCAGTGCCAGTCTAGCTAAGTCTGGCTCGCACGTGGAGAGGCACTTCTCGGGCCAGCCAGGACAAGTGAAGCATATTTTCAAAGAAATCGCCAAGCTGGATAGCCATCGTACGCCTGTATGGCGCGTCGGCTTCGATGATGATGGCCAGATCTTGGCCAGCACTGGCGACGACGGAAAGCTGGTGTGCTATCGCCAAACTCCAAACGGCGCCTGGGCAAGAAGTTCTGAGCTGGCTATGGTGAAAACGAGAATGGCCCTGCCTTGAGCCGGCTTCATGGGTCGGTCCAGCTTGTATCGATCGGCCCTCATCGCTTGCTCGTGCCATTTTCGAGCCGTGGTAGTTCTCAACCGACGCCCAGCGACCAAAGTAGCATGGCATGACCTCCTCAAAGGCTAGGGGCCAACATGGCTCCCATGCAAAATCCCGGCTTGCGGCTATCGCAAACCAGTGTCTGACGCAGACATGGCTGCTGCACTACAGATAGCCGGTAGCGAGGGCAATCTGAAAGAAATAGACTGCCATGATGGATCGGGCCATCAACTTTGCCATCCAGCTACCACACATCTCGAAATGCGGAATGACTCGAGTCACAGTCTTGGTTTTCAAGGAGAAGTTAGATACCCCTATTGAATGATTTCGCAGCCTTAGCCTATCTGATGCGACTGATTGCCAAGCGCCCTTAATTACATATTCTACGAAAAGTAGTAGATGACTTTTGACCTACCCTAGACATTCCCTCACTACTTCCTACGCTTCTGACCTCCGCCGCCGGCCCCCTCGTCCGCTGCTTGGCGCTTTCTGCCGTTCTTACGCCAGAACTCCTTGCTCTCCTTCTTCTCCCTCGCCTCCTTCTTTTCCTCAGACTCGGCCACCTTCTTGCGGTACTCGGCACGCTTCTCCTCCTTTTTGGCGGCGCGGCGAGCGACCTTGTCGTTACGGATCGTGGTAAGCTGCTGCAGCAGGTTGCGCGCCGTCTTCTCCTCCTTGTTGAGCACGACAGCTCGCTTCTGCATGTAGGTCTCTTTGTTCTGCTTGCGAGCCTGCACAATCTGTGACTTGAAGGGCAGCTCGGCGGCCAGGGCACGGGGCACGCGCAGAGGGTTGAAGTGGCGAGTCTCGCGCTCAATCTTGCGATACTGGCTGTTCTTTTGCGAAGGTGTCTCGATGCCCTCAGCGCGGCGCACCTCACCCGTAAGCCGCATCGCCTGCCAGCCGATGAGGTTTGTTACGGGGCTGTAGAAGCGATGTGGCTTGATAGGATACCATGCTCGGAGGAAGACGATGTCGCTGTACAGAATCTTGTCTTCGAAGGTGGCACGGAAATGGCCCTCCGGCTTGGACAGTGCACGTTTGATCTGACCACGAACGCCGGAAACTGTCTTGATGGACGCGCCCTCGAATTTCGCGATCTCGAGCGACGAGTTGAACATGCCCTTGATGAAGGCCGTGTTCTTGTGGATCTTGTCGGCAGTACCCGTGAGCTTGAGCTTCTTGACGATTTCGGTTGATTCGTCGACGCTGAGGACTGTCCCCGTTGCTGCTATCCGGAAGCCAGGATTGGATGACGAGAAGGAATTGAAACAAACAAAGCCGGAGTTGGGCGCGATGAGTGGACCGTAAATGGTTGCGAAACAATGCATATGCTCTGGTGTGTATTTCAGCATGCGATTTCTCGTTCTCGAGTCTGAGATGCTGTAAATAGGCATGGTCTGGAATCGCCTCCAGCCGAGGGAGAAGATCAATGGATCGTTCGTCTTGAGAATCTTTTTGTGCCACCTATGCTTTTTGATTCGGACCTGCACATATCCAAAGCGATCCTCGGTAGGGCTCAGACCACCAAGAATTAGAGGCATCCTCGCATTGAACATCTCAACGAACTCGGCCGGAATACCCTCCAGGACAATCTTGGCATACTTGCCGGCCTTAAAGCCCTCGACAACAGCTCTCTGCCTCTCGTCAAGGTTTTCGAACTCTGCCTTGTTGATATCCAGCTGCTTCTGGATAAGGGCCTTTTGCGACTCGTACCACTCGTCCTCACCGAATTGCTGTTCGCCGCCTTCCCTCCGGGCATTTGCTTTGTCGTTGAGGAATCCTTCTCTATCTTCTTCCTCAAACCGTAGTTTGAGTTCCTCTTTGCGTTTCGCGTTCCTTTCACGCTCGTCCTCGAAGTTTTCCTCTTCGTCGGGCTCTTCGGGGCCGTGCTGTTCTCCGGTTTCCAGGTCCTCGAAGACACCGTCGCCTTCGTCATCGTCCTGGTCATCATCAATGCCGCCAAATTCATCGTCATCCCCGTCATCGTCATCCCCACCTCGTGACGCCGATGTTGTGAAGCGGCGCCTCAATGCCTCCACATTTGCCTGAAGAGACCACTTTGCGGCCAAATCCTGATAGTCGTACAAGGGTATCGACCTATCCTCCACTTTGTCGTCCGTCTCCTGTTTGGACTTTTTGAAGAAATCGTCGTCGTCTGAAGCTTCGATATCTTCTTCCCCTTCTCGGTCCTCACCACGCCACCTCTTCAGTGCTTCCTGTGGTGTTATAGAGTCGTCATACATGAACCTAGCGAGATCCGGTGTATGATAGGAACGTCTCTTGCCATGCAGCCTCTTGGCGCGCTCCGCCATGTTTTCCTTCCACTTCAGAGCGGCCGCCTCCTCGTCCGAGTCAAGGCCTTCAGCATCCATGTCCCCGTCCTCATCTTCCAGCCCAGATATGGATCCGAGGTCAGAGTCACTGTCAGCGAAGGCCACATCCTCATCGTCGCCATCCTTTTCAGAATCCTTGAGGAAGATCTTGCCGAGCTTGCCCTCGTCGAATTCTTCTTCAACGTCAGACTCGCCATCCTCTTCACCACTGACGAAACCCTCGTCATCGACCATCTCCTCATCCGACTCTCCATCCCGGTCCGGGAGATGCGCAAATCGTTGGGTCTTTCGGCCAGTATCATTGTCCTCGACGACGTCCTTCAATTGTTCGCCGCCCTTGAAAAGCTGGACACCCTCCTCAGTCTGACCTAGCAACTTCCGCTCGCCCTGAAGTCCAACAATGAGCTCTTCACCTTCGCCCCTCTCGCCATCTTCGGCATCCTTGTCGAAGGTGAACCCCTTTTCCTTTGTGATCCAAATTGCGTCACCGTCGATCTTGAGACCGCTGCGATCTGACAAGGGGGCGTATAGTTTCTTCTCCTTCTCGTCTAGGCGTCGGCGTGTCGTCTTGCCTGTGATCTTGGCCATGGCTTGTTCCATAGCTGGAGTCGGGCAGGGGTCTGGAAGCACCTCGAGGTTGGCGACGGTAAAGTCCCCAAGGCCGGGAATATGCACTCTTTGGCCTTGGGAGGCAAAGTTAGTTCCTCTGAGGTAGCCTGAAATAACAACAGAGCGGTCGCACTTGGGGTCCTCCTCGATCTTGGTCGGATGGGTGATGTCTCGGTAGCTGTCGACGATGGTGTAAGGATGGGAGTTTCTCCAGACCAATGGTCGCGGATTCTTCATCACGGAGAGGAAGCGCGAGAGATTGTGAATCTCACGGTCAGGATAACGCCCATTCATAACTCCTGAGAGATAGAAGAGGTGTGCGCCTTGGTAGAGCTCGCTCCAAAGTCTCCTCTTGATCCGCTTCTTCGCATCCTTCAAAGTCTGAACTTTCTTGAACAAGTCCAAGTGAGTCAGAATCGTGAAGACGTTCCCGGGCATGCCGACGGAGCTAAATATATTCAAGGCTTCCATTGTCTCCATCTCGAAGCCGTAGTTGCCATCGATCATCAGCAGGACGATGTCTGCGATCTTGGCCAAGTCGACCATGGCCTCGAGTTGATTGGGACACTCGACGAATGTCAGCCGCTGCTTCTTTGATGTAACAACGGTGATGGGACCCTGGGGGTCGGAAATGGTCTCCTTCGCATATCGACGGATCAGAGATTTGAGTAGAGTCGTTTTGCCGACACCAGGAGGTCCTATGATGGTGACCAGCTTTGGTGGCGGCTCGTCGGGGAGTCGGTCGACGAGGGGTACATGAAATCGCCTTTCTTTGATCTATCCAAAAGCATTAGTCAACGCTTGTGTAGAGTGCCGTCGGTTCAGGGGTGCGTACGTCGGCAGATCGCGCGTTGGACTTAAGAAGCTTTCCGGGGTTGGAGAAGGTGAAAGCCTTGGGGTTTCGATCTGGAGCGCTTGTGAGTATTGAACTGAATGCAGCCAAGGTCAGATCCATGTAATTTACCTCCAGTATGACCTTTCTTCTTGTCCTTCGCCTTGCGGTGAGGCTTGTGCACTTGGTCGTCCATGATGGCGGCAGTGTTAACCAGTACTTTTGAGGATGCCTGTAGCGACACGGCGAGCGCATCCAATATTTTTTTTTCCTCTAGTCGCGACGCTGCGCACTTACCTTCCTTAGCTTACCAGAAAATTTGTTATGGGTCTCGTCTTATCTTATCGCGGTAGTGTATCGATAAGATCGCTGGCCCATTGCATGGACCCCACTACGTAACTAGTCCCTGGATAGGTAAGCTAAGGCACTGCACAGGCTGCGTTACGGTTTACCCCTCTTGCACTACCCCTCCCTCCCTCTTTTCCCTTGATTCTGTCGATGAGGCCGATCATCGAGGCGTTGTATTACAAACAACACATGGGGACACCTGAGATGAGCCGGCTGGGAGGCGTACGTTATTCTTGTACATCCCAATCAGAATGAATAGACAGGCCACGGCCCATGCCCAGCAGCATCTGGGTACAGTTTAGAAGCTTCCGCGGGATGATAACCAGCCAGAGATAGGTATCTATTTCACGCAAGGCGACATTTCTGCAAACCAGCCATAGTCAGCAGTGACGGCATAGCCGCTGACGAGTGTCGTCGAGGCGGATGATGATACTTGGCAGATAGGCCTTGATTGGCTTCTGTGTCGAGTCACAAGACACCAAAGGGGCTCCGCAATCGTCTGCGAGCAGACGCATCATGCCTGAAGAAACAAAACAGACGCTCGAACACTGAAGCTGCGGATTAGGTCGGTAAGATTTCTTATCTGTAATCTGGTACACGAGCGGCGGACATGGTCTGGGGCGTAGTTACGTAGTAGCGGTGTTCATTCAGATGTGATATGCGCTCCACGCGCGTGGGTTAAGGGCGGTGGCTGGCTTGAGGCAGCCACAGCACACGCAGACGAGGGTTTAAGTGCGTTATGGGATGACGTATTGGCAGGTGTGGGACACCTCATTGAGGTGTCCGTGATGGATGGGGGTTGAATGCTCTCCGTACGTGCCACTCACATA